TGCATAATGACTTCTATTCCTCTGGGTAGATATCTAGTAGTGGGACTGCTGGATCAAATGGTAGTTCTACTTTTAGTTCTTTAAGGAATCTCTACACTGTTTTCCATAGTGGATGTATTGTACTAGTTTACATTCCCACCAGAAGTGTAGAAGTGTTCCCTGATCACCGTATCCACACCAACATCTACTGTTTTTTGATTTTTTTGACTATGGCCGTTCTTGTAGGAGTAAGGTGATATTGCATTGCAGTTTTTATTTGCATTTCCCTGATCATTAGTGATGTTGAGCATTTTTTTGTGTTGGCCATTTGCATATATTCTTTTGAGAACTGTTTATTCATGTCCTTAGGTCACTTTTTGATGAGATTGTTTGTTTTTTTCTTACCAATTTGTTTGGGTTTGTTGTAGATTCTGGATATTTGCCCTTTGTCGGATGTATAGATCGTGAAGATTTTCTCCCACTCTGTGGGTTGCCTGCTTAAACTGCTGACTGTTCCATTTGCAGTGCAAAAGTTCTTTAGTTTCATTAAGTCCGAACTATTTATCTTTATCTTTATTGCATTTGCTTTTGGGTTCCTGGTCATGAAATCCTTGCCTAAGCCAATGTCAGGAAGGGTTTTTCCAATGTTATCTTTTAGAGTTTTTGTAGTTTTAGGTCTTAGATTTAAGTCCTTAATTAATCTTGAGTTGATTATCGTATAAAGTGAGAGATGAGGATTCAGTTTTATTCTCCTACATGTGACTAACCAATTATCCTAGCATCATTTGTTGAAGAGGGTGTCCTTTCCCAATTTTATGTTTTTATTTGCTTCGTTGAAATTCAGTTAGCCATAAATATTTGGGTTTATTTCTGGGTTCTCTATTCTGTTCCATTGGTCTATGGGCTGATTTTTAAACCAGTACCACGCTGTTTTGGTGACTCTGGCCTTATAGTATGGTTTGAAATCAGGTAGTGTGTTGCCTCCAGATTTGCTCTCTTTGCTTAGTCCTGCTTTGGCTATGTGGGCTCTTTTTTGGTTTCATATGAATTTTAGAATTGGTTTTTCTAATTCTGTGAAGAGTGATGGTGGTATTTCAATGGTGATTGCATTGAATTTGTAGATTGCTTTTGGCAGTATGATCATTTTCACAGTATTGATTCTACCCATCCATGAGCATGGGATGTGTTTCCATTTGTTTGTGTCGTCTATGATTTCTTTCAGCAGTGTTTTGTAGTTTTCCTCATAGAAATCTTTTGCCTCCTTGGTTAGGTATATTTCTAAGTATTTTTTTTTAAGCTATTGTAAAAGAGGTTGAGTTCTTGATTTAATTCTCTGCTTAGTCGCTGTCAGTGTATAAAAGAGCTACTAATGTGTGTACATTAATCTTGTATCTGGAAACTTTGCTGAGTTCTTTTATCAGGAGAACGTAGGTTTTGATTAACAGGAGTTTTTTTACCTGGCACAGATAAGGGGGACACTGGGAGAATTTTTTAAAGCAGTGTTTTCCTAAGGGAAAGTGATGGAGGGTTTTATTGGGTGAGAGAAAGGGGAGTGTAGAGGAGGGGTCCCAGTTGTGTAGATGTAGTGAGTCACTACGTTAGTACATTTGGGGTGGAGACTTTAGTAATGAGGAAAGTTTACTTGGGTTTATCTGTAAATTGTCAGGGTCTGTCAGAAGTTAGTTTCTTTCTTTCTTTTTATTTTTTTAGAGACAGGGTGTTGCTCTGTCACCCCAATCTGGAATGCAGTGGTCTGATCATGGCTCACTGCAGCCTCCAATTCCTGGGCTCAAGCAATCCTCCCATCTCAGCCTCCTGAGTAGCTAGGACTACACCTGGCTAAATTTTTTTTTTTTTGGTAGGGACAAGGTCCTGGCCTTGTGCGATTCTCCTGCCTCTGCCTCCCAAAGTGCTGAGTTTACAGACACAAACCACCACACCTCTACAGAAGCTGATTCTGACATCAGGGTGACCACATTTTACAGAGGGTTTCCAGAAACTAGGCTGCAGGACAGCATGCTGTAAAGCAAGCTGATTGTTTAAGTTGATTACATTTCTAGAATCTCTGGAGACCCTGCCTGTCTGCTGACATCTTCTCTTGCCCCTACTTCCTCCAGGTGTTACCACTGCACTTATCTGCCCCTCGTGTAACAGAAGGACTAGAAGGAGTTGCTTCTACTTGATCTTGCCGATTCCTCTCTTCCCAGTCTCTTTTAAACCCATTCAAATCTGCGCCAAGTAAACTTTGGCAATGTCATCCTTCCAGGTGCTCAGGCCAGAAACTTTGGACTCATCTTTGACTCATTTCTTCATACCCACATTCTATCCCTCAGAAAATAATTGTTAGCTCTGCTTTCACATTAGATCCAAAATCTGTCCACTTTTTGCTCTCCACTGCTACTGCCCTGGTCGGTACCACCTGCATCCTGCCTGCCTAGTTCATGGCAGCAGCCTCACTGGGCTTCCTGCAGGCTCTACAGTCTCTCTTTTTGTTTTTTTCTTTTTTGAGATGGAGTCTCACTCTGCAGCTCAAGCTGGAGTGCAGTGGTGCCATCTTGGCTCATTGCAATCTCTGCCTCCGGGGCTCAAGTGATTCTCGTGCCTCAGTCTTCCGAGTAGCTGCGACTACAGGCAAACACCACCACGCCCAGCTAATTTTTTCATATTTTTGTAGAGACGAGGTTTCACGTTGCCCAGAGTGGTCTCGAACTCCTGAGCTCAGACTATCCACCCACTTCGGCCTCTCAAAGTGCTGGGATGACAGGCATGAGCCACTGTGCCCGATCTACAGTCTCTTCTTAACAAAGTAGCTCCAGTGATTATTTTGAAACGTAAATAGTTATTCTTTTGCACACTCTTCACTTCACTTAAAAGTGAAAGTCAGAGTCCATAAAATAATGTGGAAGCCTTTCATAATCCGAAGCCCCTTGTCCCATTCCTTACTACTTACCTCCCTTGGCTCTCGCCACTCTTCCCTCCTTGCTATTCTCCCAAAAGGCAAGCCCTGCTCTGGAAACTTTGTACTCCCTCTGTACTGAACGTTTCCCCTTCCCCAAGTGTCTACGTCTCTTGCAGATCTTTATTCCATGAGGCCTACCTTGATTACCCTATTTAAAGTTGCAGCATATCTCCCATATACTCTCACCTTGCATTCCCCTATTTTTTCCATGGTGGTGTTTAATTGAACAAAATACGGCCTGAGACAGCCTCTGTACTTCCATATTTGAGTCCTTGAGGATAAACCATAACCTAACTTAGTAGATAGACAAGACTGAAAACCTAATTTAGGAGTATGCTTCTATAACAATAGTTGAGTCTCAGCCAATCCCAGCAGCCATACTTCAACTATTCTATACAATGCTGACTGTTCAAACTGTGTTCAGGTAAGGCAAACGCCAAGCTGTGACCCACCCAGCTGCTTCTGTACCTCACTTCTGTTTTCTGTACATCAATTTCCTTTTTTTGTCTACAAATTTGCTCTGACCACGAGGCATCCCTGGAGTCTCTCTGAATCCGCTGTGATTCTGGAGGCTGCCCGATTTGTGAATCATTTTTTCCCCTTGCTCAATTTAACTGTAAGTTTAATTTGAAGTTTTAACAATAATTTCAACTTTCAGCAGATGTTTATGATGTTTGCCTCCTATCCCACCTCCTACTGCGTAGGGTGAAGAGTCGCAGTGTCTGCTGCTTTAAAACGGTTAGGTCAGAACAAAAAAAAAAAAGAGTTGGGAACCACTAAGTTATATAATTATTTCAGTAGGCCTGGAACAATATATATATATATATTTAAAAAACAGACTTGAAAATGGCTAAAATAAATTTTGTTATGCGTATTTTACCATAATTTAGAAAAAGGAAATAAAGAAAATCTCACAGCTCCTGTAAAGTAATATTTCAAGGATTTTTTTTCCAGTTTTGTGTGAGTACTTGTATATCCACGGTTCCAAAGTCTACAATCTATTTCTTACTATCAGTTCGGGTCAAAAATATGAGAAAAAAATACGGTATAGAACCATTTGCACACACTCACCAGCTGACATGCACAACATAGTTCACAGCAGCATTGTTAGAGCAAAAGCTGGAAATAATCCAAATGTTGAGGCAGCAGGATGGATACATAATGAAGTATATTAAACAATGGAAAGTTATGCAACAGTGAATGAAGAACTACAGCCACCAGCTTTTATGTAGGTGAATATGAAAAGCAATGCTGAAAGAAGCAAACTGCTGGATAATACAGACATAATTCCATAAAGTTCAAAATTGAACAAAACAAGATAGTGATACATACATATGTAGTAAAACTACAAAGAAAAACAAGGCAAGGTGATATTAAAAATTCAGAAAATCATTAAAAACTTAAGTCATTAACGTTTACGGAACTGTTTCTATTTCCCCAGTACTCCTGAAGACAGCATCATGTCTATTTCCTGATCTTGCTCCCTGTCGCAGCTCCCAGTGGCCCTTAATCATTGTATTTATTTTCCAAGGACTGAACCATCTGACAATTTGTATGCGCTGCGTAATTAACGTATCCTCAGTAGGGGATAACTTTCCAGGCTAGCGCCTCGCGACGCTCTGACAATAGAGTTCATTAACTATTTATTGAATGAATAAATGCACTTTGACACAAGTTAGTTCAGCACTTCTCATTTTAGTCCGAATTCTTCTCCGGGCTTCCGTTTAGTCGCCACCCAATACCCCTGCCCTATCTCGCACGCTCTAAACTCCCTGGACTCGTTTCCGAGTGCCGGACGCAGTTTTCTCCTAGACTCTGCATTAGGCCAACAGAGTGGGAGAAAGGTGGAAGGTCTGGGCTGGGACAAAAGCGCTTCCCGTACGTCCAGGCCTGTGAGGAGGATGCGGTGGGCGCCGTCCCAAGAGGACCCGTCAGCCCTAACGCCACGAGAAACGCAAGGCACTGAAAGAGAAGCCACGCATTAACCAAACCCGGAACGTCACGGCCTCGCCGAACTCCTGATTGGAGAAGCTGCATTTGGTCAATTCTCGCGATGACTCCCACAGGTTACCCCTCCCTCCCTCCCTTCGCCGTGACCCGGTAGTCGACAGCTGACTGCTTGCGAGCTTCGGAGACGCGGTAGCACTAGATCAGCTTCCGGGACTCGACCAGACGCCTGCGACTCTTCTCAGACGTCCACGAGCACGAGGTTTGGCTCCCAGGTGTTCTGCCTGCCAGACCCGCGGTAGCGCGAGACCCTTCACCTCTCGGCTCGGCCAGTTTTGCTAGGGCCGCCTTGCGAGCCGCATCGATTCTCATCTTTTAGTATCGCCAGGATTCGGCGGCTGTGAAATTGGTTTCCGGTCGCCAAGGTCTCCATGGAGACAGCACTTTAACCACTTTCTCCCACTGTCTTTCCTCGATTCCACGTGGTTCAGAAATCGCCCAGAGAATGTTTGTGGGAGTCAGCCAGGAAGGTGTAGAGTGAGGCAGCGTTCTAAAGGGAAGCAGTAAGTGGGACCTAGGAGTGTAATTTACTGGGCACCTTCTGGCCTTGCGATAGACACGGGATTTACTTCCTTGGGGAGCCCGGTTCTTCAGGACACACGTTTAGGCATCCTTTGAGCAGGCATAATTACCGAATCTGCTTTTGTGTAACCTTCAGAGTTGCAAGATCAAATCCTCCTGTAAACTTGCTTACCTTTCACCAGAGAATAGTCTCCCTAGTTACGTTTCCCAGTCTCTTCTGGCTTTGTACGATGGTCACTTACTGAGGAAGCGTGCCTCAGTTCCTCTAGATCTGACCATCCCTTTACAAATTACCCTGTTGTCAACACTTTTCTAGTTGGGTCCATTTTTCGTTAAGTGGTTGATCACCTGCCGTTACTGTATCGACTTCTTACTTTCCAAACCATAGGTTCTTAAGATGTAGAATGTTACTTAGATGTAGAATGGATTTTAGATACTAGGTAGTCCACCTTCCTGCCCTTAAAGACATATATCCCTTCTAGAACGTCTTTGACAAATGTTTGTTAATTTGTTTATTCATCAAGTGTTTATTAAACACCTACTATGTGCCAGGTACTGGTTTAGGAATTGAGACTTCAAACGTGAACAAAACAGATTAAGGTTACTGCCTTCATTGTTTGCTACTAAGGTAGACAGACAATATATAAATGTACAAGTTAGTGTAATTTCTGGTAGTAGTAAGTGCTGTGAAGAAAATTAGCAGAAATGGTGTGTATGTGTGTTGGATTGGTGGCATTTTTGATAGAGTTGTCATGGAAGGCTTCTAGGAGGTAACATTGCAGCAGAAACATGAATGGTGAGAAGGAGTCAGCCTTGCACAGATGTGGAATGAACATTAAGGGGCAGAGATAATTGGGAAGTGTAAAACCTCTTAGATGGGAATAAGAGCATCAGAAGTGCAAAGTTCTTGAGATGGTGAGGAGGAGATTGGTTTGAGATGAAGAGTGGAGGAAGGCAGGGCCAGATTATTTAGGGCCTTGAAGGGCAAAATCTTTTTTTTTCTTTTCTTTTGAGATGGAGTTTCTCGCTCTTGTTGCCCATGCTGGAGTGCAGTGGTGCGATCTCAGCTCACTGCAATCTCTTGCCTCCTGTGTTCAAACGATTCTCCTGAGTTAGCCTCCTGAGTAGCTGGGATTACAAGCGCCTGCCATCACACCTGGCTGGTTTTTGTATTTTTTTTTTTTTAAGTACAGATGGGGTTTCACCATGTTGGCCAGGCTGATCTTGGACTCCTGACCTCAGGAGATCTGCCTGCCGAGGCCTCCCTAAGCACTAGGATTACAGGCGTGAGAGCCCCCACGCCCAGCCTCAAGTTTGGATTTTATTGTAAGTGTATTTGGAAACCCTTGGAAAGTTTTAAGGAAGAGAGTAAGTAATTCAATTTGATGAGAGTTTTTAAAAAAGAGATTGCTTTGATGACTGTAAACAGAATGAATTCTTTGGAGGTAAATGTAGAAGTTAGGAGACCGGATGGGGGCTATTTCAAGTGGCCAAGAGAAAATACTCAGTCTTCAGTCATCTTCTGTTTGAATATTCCTGGTGTTGGGAAATTCTTTGTTCAAAAGGTAGCCCAGTCCTTAGTGGGACCATAGAGCTTTTCCTTTGTATTGATCTGGAATCTGTCTCCCTGTTGCTTGTACTGATTTTTACTAATTTTATAGCAAGACAAAAGAAATCTCCCTTTTTTCTCCAAAACAGTCTAGCTGCTAAGGCTCTTGTCCTGTTGACTTTTCTCCAGGCCACACACCTTTGGTTAACTGAGCTGTTCTCTGAAGGAGGTGCTCTCTAGGTCCTTCAGAAATCAGCTCCATTTTTTGTTATGGCTCCTTAAAGTATAGCCACCAGTGCTGTACCTAATGCTCTACCTGTCACCTGTCCTGTTTGGATGAACGAAGAATCATGCACTCCTTTGATGTGGCTGACTTCTTCTCTGGTTTTTGGCAGTCATCTTGTGCTGTTGAGGTGTTTCAAACTACGTTTTGCCTCCCTCTGCCTCCCCATCCTCAATTTCTGTGGTTTTTCCCTAAACTAAATGTAGCCCTTTACATTTATTTCTATTTCATCTTGGTAAATTTCATATTGCTCATTATTCCAGTGTATTGACCTGTTTTTAATCCTGATTCATCATCCAACATGTTCTTCCAGATTTGTGTATTTTATACATATACGACATTATACCCTCTAATGTTTGCATTATAAATGCTGCTAAAAATGCTAACTGCACCAGGAAAAGGGCCCTATGACATTTCCCCAGCAACTTCTTTCCAGATGGCCTGGTGCTATTAGTGTGTAGTCTTTGAGTTGGGTTGCTTAGCCTGTTATGAACCCACTGATTTGTTAAGTATCAATAAAAACAAACTCAAGAAAATAGTATTCAAAAAAATTTTTTTTTCATTTTTGCAGAAATCAAGATACGCCTGTTAATCTAACAAGTCACAGGTTAGTTTGAAGTAATTTATTTTTGGAAAAACTATGCTAGTTTTTTTGTGTGTGTTCACTAAAAGGAAAGTTTGCTGTATTTTAAAATCCAAAGACTGAGTCATAGCAGGTAAAAGTAACTTCAGACAGTAATAAACTCTTGAGCTTAAAAAATTTTTCTCTTTCAGATCAGAAATTCTTAGACAGTGGTTCTCATTCTGGGGCATTTTTGCTCCCCAGGGTACACTTGGCAATGTTTGAGGACACTATCTGGTTGTCACAATGTGGGAGGGAGGAGGTTGCTACTGGCATCTAGTGGGTATGGATTGGGGATGCGTGAAACATAATGCATAGGCTAATCCTGTTCAACAAAGAATGAATCTGGCCAAAAATTAATAGTGCTGATGTTGAGAAACCTTACATTAATGCCATAAAGTCTTCTTTCTTGCAGTGACTACTGTTAATTCTATTTAAAATGGGTATAAAGAAGAAGAAAGAAATGCAGGTTGCTGCGTTGACCATTTGTCATCAGGACCTCGAAACTCTGAAATGTAGGTGACTTCTGATTTCCCTTATTTAATATATTGCTTTTCTTTTTTCTTTTCTTTTTCTTTTTCTTTTTTTTTTTTGAGTTGGAGAATCGCTCTGCTTCCCAGGCTGGAGTGCAGTGGCATGATCTCGGCTCACTGCAACCTCCGCCTCCCAGGTACAAGCAGTTCTCTGCCTTAGCCTCCTCAGTAGCTGGGATTACAGGCACCTGCCACCAAGCCTGACTAATTTTTGTATTTTTAGTAGAGACAGGGTTTCACCATCTTGGCCAGGCTGGTCTTGAACTCCTGACCTCCACCCGCTTTGGCCTCCGAAAGTGCTGGGATTACAGATGTGAGCCACCGTGCCCGGCCCAATATATTTCTTTTCTAGTTTGCAAGCAGAGTATTTTAATCTCTGGGACTCCCTAGCACATAATACTCAAATTCTTTCTAGATTTCTTTATGTTTTGGATATAAAACAATTTTCCTAAAATTCTGTCTGCAGACTATGTTCTGCCTGTTGTTTTGGTTTATACATCAAAAATTATGTAGAATGCATAACAAAAGCAAACTTATATTTAACTTATTGTTAAATCACTGAATTTTTTTTTTTCTGTATGTGTTATATAGCTTTTGCTGATGTGGAAGGGAAAAATCTAGCTTCTTTGCTGTTACATTGTGTACAACTCACAGATGGAGTGTCACAAATCCATTATGTTAAACAGGTAAGTCTAAATTGATATTCATGGATGCATTTTTAAGAGTATTATGCTATTAAGGATTTTTAAAAATCACTGACAGTTTTTGGCTCCTAATTTTTGCATATCAGTTTATCATTAATGAATAGGTATTTTATTCTTTTCTGTTCATTGTATAATATCCTTTTATTCTAAGCAGCAATAGAAGCCATATTCAGGCTTCTGTCATAATTGAGCTGTAAATAGATAAGGTAGAAGATAATTGTACATACTTCTTTTGTGTAGAATTTTTAATTATATGAATTTTTAAATATATGAATCTTCAAAACTTTTTAGCAGGCACATTTAAAAGTTAATTTAAAATATAAATATTTTACTTATTAGTATTTCAGTATTAGGATTTACCATTTGAGCACACATAGTTTTTTTTTTTTTGGAAAGCAAGTAAATGTATTACTGGTTTTTTAAATAGTGCTACAACTGTTCTTTACCTTAAGCCATTAACATGTCTGTGATTCTCTGTGGAGGTTGGTCTGGAGGGTAAAGGGAGACTTGGGGACATAAGTTTAAAAAGTTAATAAGTAGCGAAATAGGTGTTAAATCAGTATCCTTGACAGTGGAGTATGGAAAACACTTCACTTTATAATTGACACTTCGTTTATTTTTTTGAGACAGGGTCTCACTCTCTTATTCAGGCTGGAGTGCACTGGTGTGATCTTGGCTCAACTGCAGCCTCAACTGCCTGGGCTCGAGTCATCCTCCTGCCTTAGCCCCGAGTAGCTGGGACTACAGGCATGCACCACCATGCCTGGCTAATTTTTGTATTTTTTTTTGTAGAGATAGGGTTTTGCCATGTTGCCCAAGATGGTCTCGAACTCTTCTGGGCTCAAGTGATCTGCTCACCTCAGCCTCCCAAAGTGCTGGGATTACAGGAGTGAGCCAGTGTGCCCAGCAATTGAGACTTTAAAGAATATCTAACTATGTTACTTTGCTATACTTAATATTAGAAAAATTACTTCACTGTTTTGTATTATAGATTGTGCCTTTACTGGAGAAAGTAGATAAAAATGGCGTGTGTGATCCCACTATTCAAAGTTGTTTGGATGTTTTAGCAGGCATTTATCTTTCTTTGAGTCTAAAGAATCCCTTGAAGAAAGTATTGTCAAGGTAAGAAAAAAAGGAAGGGAAGTTGGGTGTTGTAAATGTTGAATTTGACCAAAAGTAACTAAAGTTCCTTCCCTGGTTTGATAAAACTGAACTGATACAGGTCATAAAAAGTTCATTCATGTGGGTTTTTTCTCTGTTTTCAATGATTAGTTACAGCTTTTAAAAAATAGAAAAGGCCTTCTTAGGTCACAGACTTAAAAAACAGGCTGTGGGCTGTAGTTTGCTTACTCCTGGCTCAATCCATTTACATTTATTGGTTATGTTTAAATGTCATCTTGCTGTTTTTTCCTCTTTTTGTCCTATTTGTTCATGGTTTAAATGTATATTTACACAGATAACACAGGAATATAGGCTTAATGTAAAAAATTAAATAAAAGTATACAAAATAAAAAGTGAGGCTTCCATTTCATTGTTTCTGGTTTTTCTCACTTTTCTTAGTAAAGATTGTCACTTAACATTTTGGTATTTACCTTTCTAGACTTTTTCTTTGAGGTCAGCATATGTGTGTTACATTCTACTTTTATATATATCTCTCTTTATAAACGAGATTTTACTCTACATAATGCTCTTTTTTCACTAAAGAATGTGTTAGAGATATTTCCATGTCACATGTAATCCTTTTCAAAAAAAATTATTGTAAAAGACACATAACTTAAAACATCAGTCTTTTTTTTAAAATGAATTTTTTTTATTTTTTATTTCTATAGGTTTTTGGGGGACAGATGGTATTTGGTTACATAATAAGTACATAATATTTCATAATAATAATAAGTGGTGATTTCTGAGATTTTGGTGCAAACATCACCTGAGCAGTGTATACTGTATTTAACAATTTGTAGCCTTTTCTCCCTTACCCACTTCTCACCCTTTCCGCCGGGGTCCTCCTATATGATTCTTAGGGCTTTGCATCCTCATAGCTTAGCTCCCACTTATGAGTGAGAACGTACGATGTTTGAGTCTTAACCATCTTTAAGTGTATGTGGTTCAGTAGTGTTAAGTATATTTACATTGCAGTGCAGTGATCTTTAGAACCTTGTTGTCTGCAAAGCTCTGAGATGCTATACCCATTAAGTAACAGCTCCCCATTTCCCACCTAGCCATTGGCAGCCACTTTCCGTTCATGAATTTGATTACCTCATCTTAGTGGAATATTTGTATTTATATTTTTGTGACTGACTTATTTCACTTGACATAATGTCCTTAAGGCTCATCCCTGCTATAGCATATGGCAGGAATTTCTTTTCATAAGGCTTAATTTTCTGTTGTATGTATATACTGCGTTTTGTTAATCCATTCCTCTTTTCGATGGACATTTGGGTTGCTTCCACTGCTGTGCTCTTGTGAATAATGCTGCTACGAACATGGGTGTGCAAATATCTCTTGAGATCCTGCTTTCAGTTCTTTTGGATATATACCTAGAAGTGGGATTGCTGGACCATATGGTAATTCTATGTTTAATTTTTTGAGCAACTGTCATACTGTTTTCCATATGTAACATTTTACATTCCTGCCAACAGTCCTTACTCTTAAAACAGCTATAAATATTCCGTAATATAAATATACCAAAATTTAAATGTACCATATATATGACATGTATACATCTATATATGGTACATATTACATGATTTATATTGCATGGTTTAAAGCAATTTAATCACTTCCCCATTGCAGTGATATTCTTAATCATGTATGTGTATGTGTATTTCTCTGAGATAAATTCCAAGATGTGGCATTTCTAGACCAAAAATTAGGCCTATTGAAATTTTTGATAGATATTGTTAAATTGTACTCCCTCAGACTACCAACTGAATTAGAGTCCTTGTTTCTTCTTCATGTGTTTCCAACACTGGATAATATCAATCTTTAAATCTTTTAAAATCGAATGAGTGAAAATGCTATCATTATAATTTGCATATCCCAGATTACTAGTGTTATTGAACATTTTTTCATGTGTGAAGTTTGAGTCACTATTTTTTTTTCATTACATGTCCTTTGTAAATTTTCTTGTTAGAATGTTTTCTTGGTTTATAAGACTTCTCTGTAGATTATATGCCAAATATATTCTTTTGTTACTTGTCTTTAAACTTTCTCATGGTGTCTTGTCTTTACAAAAATTAAAATTTTATTTTGGTTATCAACTCAGCTAATTTGTGTGTATGTGTTTTTCTGAGTTTTGTATCTTGCTACGTATACTGTCTTTAATACAAGATTATTTAAAACATTATTTGCAGGCCTTATACTATTTTTTTTTGCTTAACCTTTATGTCCATCTGGAATTAAGTTTTGAGTGTAGAGTGAGGTAGGGATTCAATTTAGTTTTCTTTTTTATATGGGGAACCACTTACCCAAACTGTTGAATAGTCCATCTTTGCCCACATATTTGGAATGCCACCTCATTGTGTTATATGTTCCTATATAAACATGGGTTTGATTTCTGATTTGGGTCCATTTGTTCATACACCAACCCCACACTTCTATTTACTATAGTTTGATAATGTGTTTTAATTATGTATCAGTATAAGTCAACCTTCTAGTGATTCTTCTTATTCTAAATATTCCCATTTTTGAATTCTTTTCTTCTAGAAAAACTTTGAACTGTCCAGTTATATTTAAAACAAAGCCTATCGGTTTTGATTTAGATTAATTGAGGCAAAGTTGATATGTTTAATTTATTCATTCGATAAATTTGTATTGACTGCCTACTATGTTTCAGTACTCTTCTAGGAATTGGTGGTAGAATACATGAAACAGTCTAGAATGGAGGTTACATTCTAAGGGGAAGATAGAAAATAGACAAAATAATTAACATTTATAGGATATTAGATTGGCTTGAGTGCTATGAAGAAAAAGCTGGGAGGGAGGAAAGGGGTTATCAAGGATGGGGTAAGGGTTACAATTTAAAATATTATGATCACTTCATATAGCTTTCCTTAGATGTGATAAGGTAATTGAGATTGACCTGAAAGGGTTGGGGCAGTAATTGTTGGGTATATTTGAGGGACGAGTATTTTGGTTGGAGGAAACAGCAGGAGCAGAAACTGGCATGTCAGAACAGAGCAAGGCCGTGTAGCTAGAGATAAGTGAACACGGATCTAGATGCAGTCAAGATTGTGATGGGCACCATTTTAAAAATAGAAAAGAAAAAAAAAAAGATGAGGTCAGGAGCTAATGGTAGGGCCAGATTGTGTAGGGAGGACCTTATAGGTCACTGTAAACACTTTGGATAGTACTATAGCAGAGAAGGATGTTGTTGGAGGCTTTAGGAAGAGCAGTGACCTGGTGTTTAAACAGTGTCACTCTACCTGCTCTCTTGAGAATAATCTGGGAGGGGGAGGGAATCAAGGTGGAAACAGGGAGACCAGACAAGAGCTGATAGGCCAGGAAATTCCAGTGATGGTAGTGTGGAATTGTAATTTTCTGGCTGTTTTTTGAAGGTTTAGTTCAGTATTCCCACACTTGTATGATTTCTTCCCTCCCCACATATTCTGGGGCTATTAGATTGTTAGATTTTTTTTAATACTTGTTTCTTTTTCTAGCTCACTAAATAGCCTACCTGAATTTTTTCTGACTGCGGCTATACACAGTTTTACTTCTCGTCTTCAGGAAGAATTGAATACTACTGACTTATACTCTTATAGGAAAGTAATTGACAATATATCTTCCTGTATGGAGAACTTTAACTTGGGTAAGGTGGCACTTTTCTAGTCCTTTTTCTGGCCAACCCTTCACATCACATCATAGTTTTTAAATGATACTGATTTTGATCATGAAACTCCTTATCAGTGTTCATTTTTTCCTCTACAGGTAGAGCAAGTGTTAATAATCTGCTTAAAAATGGTAAGTTATTTTGTTGCATGAGTTGTTGGCTTGCATGAGTCATTTTGGAACTGGCTCTTCTAAGTTTCTTGGCAATAGGTAGAGCATTGTAGATAACCAAGGTCCGTCATGCTCCTTTTTAAATTTTTACTTCTCTATCATGATATCATTTTAGATAACAGTGATATAAAAGATTTTCTTTTATTGAAGTTGAAGTTCACAGTTTTAAATTCTGGTTTGTCATATTCTTTTTGTTTCAGTGCTTCATTTTCTGCAGAAGAGTTTAATTGAAATCCTGGAAGAAAATAGGCAAGTGCTATATGTTGGCATTTGTGTGTGCACACTTGCAGTTGTACATTGTCTTTGTACAAAGAAAAATTTAGAAGTCTCAGAATGTGGTATTTTCATCCCTCTTTATTAATATTATTACACTTATTTTTTTTTGAGACAGTGTCTTTCCTTGTCACCCAGGTTGGAGTACAGTGGTATAATCATAGCTCATTGCAGCTTCAACCTCCTGGGCTCAAGTGTTCCTATCACCTCAGCCTCCCAAGTAGGTGCAACTACAGGCATGCACCACCACACCTGACTAATTTTTGTATTTTGTTGGAGACAGAGTCTCACTGTGTTGCCCAGGCTGGTCTTCAACTCTTAGACGCAAGTAATCTACCCACCTTGGCCTCCCAAAGTATTGGGATTACGGGCGTTAGCTACTATGCCCAGCCCCTCTCTCCATTAATATTAGACCCGATTATTTAAATGTATTTTTTAGAGGTTTGATATTTAATTTTAATAAATACAAAATTTTAATATCTAAAATTTACTAAAATATTTAAATGAAAATTTAAAAATGTAATAATTTGTTATGATAATAAATGAAAGAACTCTTTTCCTCACCTGAGCATGTTCCTTTTTCATAGCATTCTGTTATTATTTCATCAGTGAAATACCCTGTTATTTCTTTGAGGATATGTTAATGATAGTTTTTTTGGTTTTTTAAAATCATTTTTACATAGGCTCTGTTTCTTCCAAGTTGCTTTTATCTGTTTGCTGGTTTTGTTCAGTACATTTCCTTCTGAGCTTTCCTCAGAAGTCTGGTGATCCTTGGCTGGGCAATTAGGTGTGTCTGCCTATCTGTCTGTCTGTCTGCCTATCTGTCTGTATCTATATATAAACTTTTTTTTTCTTTGTAACAGGGTTTTGCTCTGTTGCCCAGGCTTGAGTGCAGTGGCACAATCTTGGCTCACTGCACCTCTGCCTCCCTGGGTTCAAGTGATACTCCCACCTCAGTGTCCCAGGTAGCTGGGACTATGGGTGTGTGCCACCATGCTTGGCTAATTTTTTTTTTTTTTAATTTACATTTTTTGTAGGGATGAGGTCTCACTGTAATGCCCAGGCTAGTCTTGAACTCATTGGCTCAAGTGAGCCTCCCTCCTTGGTTCCCAAAGTGCTTGGATTGTAGGCATGAGCCACTGTGCCCAGCCAGGGTAGTCATATTTAATAATGGGACACTGAGAGTTGATTTGAATGTCTGTGCCTATGGGTGGAGTTGACTGCAGGTTTTATTGTAGGCTAGTCTAGCTGCGCTTTTTCTTGGGGAAACTCTTTCTTGGGGAAACCTAAGTCAGTATTTTTAGGCCTTTTTACTTAGATACTGGATTTACCGTGGAAGAATCTTCCAAACCATTGTCTTAATATTCTGGTTGCTGAGTCAGGGAAGAAGGCTGAGGTCTCAGCATTTGGCATGCATTGTGCATGTGTTTACCTAATTCTCCTTTTTGGAATATGTTGCTGCCTTATTGGTGTGTGCTATCTTCCTCTCCAGACACCCGTTTTACTTTCTCTAAAGATAAACAAGTTGTCTGCTGGGTTGGAGGTATTTATTCAGTCTTCCTGTTTTCAATCCTGCATTTAACTCCACATCAAGAAATAACTAGTGCCAACAGTTTCTGAGCTATTTGGGACTCTAGAAATCAAGTGGCTTCTGGGCTTTTTCCCTGGCTTAGTATCCATTTCTTTTCTTTTTTTTTTTGAGATGGAGTCTTGCTCTTGTTGCCCAGGCTGGAGTGCAATGGTGCGATCTTGGCTCACTGCAAACTCCACCTCCCGGGTTCAAGTGATTCTCCTGCCTCAGCCTCCAGAGTAGCTGGGATTACAGGCACCTGCCACCACGCCCAGCTAATTTTTTTGCATTTTTAGTAGAGATGGGGTTTCACTATGTTGGTCAGGCTAGTTACGAACTCTTGACCTCCGGTGATCGACCCACCTTGGCCTTCCAAAGTGCTGGGATTGCAGGCGTGAGCCACCGTGCCCGGCCAGTATCCACATTTCTTGATTCTGCTTTCAGTTATCACTCATCCATCTGTTTTGCAGCTTCTGAAATATTATTGTTATTGTCTTGTTGCATATTGGTTGCCTTTAAGAATTTATCTTTCTTTACATTTTAAATCCCATGGCTATTGGTTTAAGGAGTTTCCAGGAGAGAAGAGAAATAATACCTGTACATCATCTTTCGCTCAAGGTAGCCTTTTGCCTCAGCAGGAGCTCTTTGGCTGTCTTTTTTTTTTTTTTGGCTCTTCTTTTTGTGCTCATTGTGTAAAGGAGGGTTCTGTCCTTTTTATGTTGTTTGAACTGTTGATTAACATTGACTTTGGTGTCAGCCATGACCTATATACTCAGGATTCCCAGATTTATTACTCCAAGTTAGGTCTCTTTCCTGAGTGGTAAACTGATAAAGTGAGTTGGCTTGTGGACATCTCAGCTTGGATGTTTTATAGGTACCTCAAATTCAGTGTGTCTAAAAGAAAGGAAATTTTATTTTTTTAAAAAAAGTATTTTTCTATATCCCCAAGTATCTCTATTCTACTTTCTGTCTTTTGGAATTTGCCTGTTCTAGGTGCTGCTTATGAATAGAATCATATATTTGCCCTTTTGTGTCAGGCTTATTTCATTTATGTTTCCTTTTTTTTGAGATAAGCTCTGGTTCTGTCACCCAAGCTGTAGTGCAGAATCTTGGCTCACTATAGCCTCTGCCTCCCAAGCTCAAGCAATCCTTCCATCTCAGCCTCTGGAGTAGCCGGGACCACAGATGTCCACCACTATGCCATGCTAGTTTTTATATTTTTGTTAGAGATGGGATTTCATCATGTTGCCCTGGCTGATTTCAAACTCCTACGCTCAAGCAATCCCCCTGCCTTAGCCTCCCAAAGTGCTGGGATTACAGGCTTGTTTTCAAGGGTCATGTATGTTGGGCATATATCAGAATTTCATTCCTTTTTGTGGCTGAGTAATGTCCCATTGTATGTGTAGACCACATGTTGTTAATCCATCTGTCAATGGACATTTGGTCTCTTTCTACCTTTTGGCTATTGTGAATAATGCTGCTATAAACATTGGTGTACAAGTATATATATCTTTGAGTCTCTGCTTTCAGCTGTTGTGGGTATATACGTAGAAGTGGAATCATAAAATAATTCTATTTTTAACTTTGAGGAACTACCAAGTTGTTTTTCCTAACTTTTGCCTTAATAGGATTATTCTGTGTTTTGCTGTGTTGAGAACTGACAGAGAGGGACAAGGACAGAAGCTGCGAGACCAGTTAGGAGGCTATGGCAATAACCAAAGGGAGAGATGAGAGTGGCTCAGGCCAAGATGTGGCAGTGGAGTTGGTCTGATTCTAGATGTATTTTGAAGGTAGAACCAACAGGATTCTCTTATAGATGGAATGGAGAAGAGAGGAGGCAAGGGTGATTGCAGTGTTTTTGTAGGTTGAAGATCCAGCAGGTATAGCAGATTTGGAGTTGAAGATAAGTTCACTCATTTAGAGACGTCTGTTAGACATCCAAGTAAAAATACCAGGAAGTTAGATATGCTAGGAAGGAATTAGAAAGGTCTGTGTTAGAGTTAAAAATTTGGGAATTATCAGCATGTAGATTATAATTTAAAGCTGACGAGCTAAAAGAGATCAGCAAGGGAGAGAATTAGATGGAGAAAAGAAGAGGAATAAAGACTGAGTCGTGGAGATTCCTAGCATAAAAAGATCAGGGAGAAGAGGTTGATTTAGTCAAGGCAGCTGAGAAGGAGTGTTGGTGAAATAGGTGAAAATCTAGGAGAGCCTGGCATTTTACAAGTCAGGGAGGGACTGGACATGGTGGCTTACCCCTGTAATCCCAACACTTTGGGAGGACAAGGTGGGCTGATCACTTGAGGTCAGGAGTTCGAGACCAGCCTAACCAACATGGAGAAACTCCCGTCTCTACCAAAAATATAAACATTAGCCAGGCAGGATGGCATGCCTGTAATCCCAGCTACTCAGGAGAGTGAGGCAGGAGAATCGCTTGAACCCCAGAGGCCGAGGTTGCAGCGAGCCCAGATTGCGCCACTGCACTCCTGGGGAACAGAGCGAGAGTCCGTCTCAAAAAAAAAAAAAGAAGCTAGGGAGGAAAAATATATCAACATTGAGGGAGTGTTCAAGTTTGTAAGTTCTGTCATTTATTCTTTTTCTTTTTTTAAATGGTGTCTTGCTCTGTTGCCCAGGCTGGAGTGCCATGGTGCCATCTTGGCTCACTGCAACCTCTGCCTCGGGTTCAAATGATTCTCCTGTTTCAGCCTCCAGAGTAGCTGGGATTACAGGTGTGTGCCACTACTCCTGGCCTAATTTTTGTATTTTTAGTAGAGACATGGTTTTGCCACATTGGCCAAGCTGGTCCCAAACTCCAGACCTCAAATGATCTGCTTGCCTCAGCCTCCCAAAGTGCTGGGATTACAGGTGTGAGCCACTTCACTCACCCGGTCTGAGTTCTGTCACTCATTCTTGATTTCTTATCTTTACCCTAAAAGAAGTGAAGTTAGTTATTGGCTGAGAAAGAGGAACATGTTGGTAAGTGAAGGGTATTGAAAGTTTGCAATTAATGTCTACATAATTGGAATGTTTATGGTGATGGAAGAGAGAGGAATACATTATAATTTAAAACTGATTTTGGGCCTTTGAGGAATGTATTTATTTTGCAGAGAATTAGAAATGTTCACACTTTTATTTGAATTTCCTTTTGTAATGTCTTTTCTTCTTTATAGAAAATGTGCTGGAAATCATATTATTCAAACACAGTTAATGAATGACTTACTGGTAGGCATTAGAGTTTCAATGGTGTTAGTACAGAAAGTACAGGATTTCCAGGAAGATCTTTGGAAGACTTCTAGTTCTCCCATATGGCAAAATATGTGTGGATTGCTGAGTATTTTTACCAAGTTTTTAATTGATGGTAAGTGTAACAAATTATATGCAAATGATATATAATTGACAGTTAAAATTGAGTGCCAATCAGCTTTTCCTTCTGATAGTCTGAAATATGATACTTAACTGAGATGCTTCTCAACATGAAGGAAGGCCCTGGATTACATGGTTTTAATCCTTTTTTTTTTTTTTTTTATGGAAACCAAATGCTGCTCTGCCACGCAGGCTGGAGTGCAGTGTCGAGATCTTGGTTCGCTGTAACCTCCACATCTTGGGTTTCACATCCCAGGTTCAAGCGATTCTCATGCCTCAGCCTCCTGAGTAGCTGGGATTACGGGAGGGTGCCACCACACCTGACTAATTTTTTGTATTTTTAGTAGAGACAAAGTTTCGCCGTGTTGGCCAGGCTGTTCCCAAACTTCTGGCCTCAAGTGATCTGCCCGCATCAGCCTCCCAAAGTGCTGGGATTACAGGTGTGAGCCACTGCACCCAGCCTGGATGGCTGAGTTCTAGTTCTTGCCTTAGAAGATAGGTTCAAGGGTGATCACCTTTTAATAATTTATTTAGCTATACGTTTGGTTTCAGTCACTTTTTTTGGAATCGGTGGTTATAACTCTCTTACATGCTTTTGGAATCAGTGGTTTGTTATTATAATAAGATGAATGAAAAAGTGATACCTAACACAACTATTTATATAAAAAGTTAAATTATCCTTTCTCTCTTCCTCTCTCATTCTATATGGTAATATATGTATGAATGTAACTTAATTAAAACATGCTCACGGGATCTCTTTAAAGCTCTTGTTAGTAAAAACCAGTAACTGACTCTGGTTTTGCCAGGCTGATTGGAAAACAATAGCATCTCATTGTTTTTAACCCTGGTAATGAAAGTCCTAGCTCTATTTTGTCCAATTAGTATTTCTATTTTTCTTTTTGCCTGGGTTCTCAGGTATTGAAAGGAAAGTAATTAAAGTACTTTTATTAAGACATAACTTACAGAAAACTTTTCAGAGGTTATTTGCTTTTTAAAAGAGGACTCTGTTAGTCTTTAAAAAAGATTCTCTAATGAAATGTAGAGAAGACATGATTTTAATATGAGGTACCTTCTTTTCTGAAAAGTTGATGGCATCTAATCAGTACTATTTTTTCCATCATTTTAAAGCTTCATAATCAGTAAAGTGTTTAGCTGCAAGTAACTGAAAACCAGACCTCCTCTCCCACATAACAAGTTCAGAGGCAGGTAATCCAGAACTGCTATAGGCAGTGTATGACCCACACATTTTCTGCTTTTCTGCTGTGCCATCTTCAGCAAGTTGGCTTGCTGAATGCAACATTTGTTGCCTCATGGTTGCCTTATGACTGCTGTAGCTCCAGACATGTCTTTATTCAAGGCAGGAAGAAGGAAGGCCAGTTGCATCTTTAATAAGGATACTCAAATGACTTTGGCTTACATCCTGTTGGCCTGAACTCTCTTATATGCTTACCTTTAGTTGCAAAGAAGATTGAAGAAGCAAGTATCCTGTTTTGGCTGGGCATGTAGCTTCCTCAATCAGAGTCACAGTTTTGTTATCAGGGATAAAGGGCAGAGTGGATATTTAGTACATAATTTATGATGTCACACTTCTTTCCCCAGGTTGAATAATTGCCCCAGGTATTCGAGGCTAATAGAGATAAAAAGAAGATACCAAGTCAAAACTGTTTGGTTGCTGTGGGTACAGTGGCAGTGCTAGCAAAGTTATAATTACCACTTACTTATGTACATTGTTTACACAAGCCCCGAGATCTCTTTATGAAGAAGCCTGTATATGTGGTGGTTGGGATACAGAGGCATTGGTGGAGGGGAGGGGACAGGTGGTGTTGCTGTTAGGTGTTCTGGGAAGCAGTAGTTGAAGAGGAGGAAAGTGGATATTAGAGGAGAGAGGAAGGAATCACATTTATTGAGTATCTACGTGCTGGGCTTAAAAGCCTTTATATTCATTATTCATCTAAACCTGACAAACACTGTGTCAGTTAAGAGTTATCCCATTTTACAGAAGAGGAAACAGAGTCCCTGGGATGTTGAATAATATCTGTAAGACCTATTCACCCGGGAAGTGGTCAGACTAGAAATTGTACCTAGGCCTGTCTGGCTGCTCAGCATCTGCTTTTTCCACCGTACCAGAATATTCATCATTTAACACAGGCTCTCTCCTTTTTTTCCAAATAGATGATCTATTACAGACTATACGGAGCACATCTGGATTAGCTGTTATTCTTTTTATTAAGACTATGTTACACCCATCTGAAAAGATTCCTCATTTGGTAAGTGCATCTTCTTTTTAGAATTGTACTTTATTGAGAGAGTATGTTTAAAAAATATTTTTGGCTTGGTGCAGTGGCTTACGTTTATAATCCTGACACATTGTGAGGCCAAGGCGGGAGGATCACTTGAGACCAGGAGTTTGAGATCAGCCTGGGCAGTTTAGCAAGACATTGTCTCTACAAAAAATTTAAAAATTGGCTAGGTATGGTGGTGCACACCTGTATCCAGCTCTGAGAGGTTGAGGTGGGAGGATCGCTTGAGACCAGGAGTTTAAGGCAGCAGTGAGATAAGATTACATCAGCCTGGAAAACAGAGTGAGACCTTGTCTCTTAAAACAATTAACAATATTTTTAAAGAAGTGAATTAATTTTTTTTTTTTGCATTGTCTGGATCCTTCTGATGACCCTTTTCTCTTATAATAAGAGACAATTCCAAAAATTCAGATAAAGCAAAAATAACAAAAAGATATTAACAGTCACCTGTAAGTCCATCTCACAAAGATAATCACTATTAATATTTTTGATGTATGTTGTAGTTTTTTTCTAGTGCTGTTTGTTCAGTGTCACCTCTGATTAGTATCTTTTTAATGTTAAAATTATGCATATTAATGTATAGATATATATACAGTAATAACTTTTCTGATAAATATGTTCTTTATTAAGAATAACCCAAATCATGTACTTTAGACGTGCAGCATGCTAGATAGAGTCAATTGTTCAGTAAATTTGCTTCTTACAGAAAGTATAATTTGATAATTTAGCCCGCAATCCTTGTATTTTTTACTAGTAGGTTTTTTTTTGCTTGCTATATTATATGGAAACTTATTTTTTCTTTTAGATGACCTTAGAAAAATATACGTGCATTATTTTATGAGATCACACAAAGTAGTTATCTTTGGATAAGTCGAAAATGTTTATTTCTCAAATCACCTCTAAAAGCATGTTAAAAAAAAAACAAAACACTTGTTAAACTTATCCACCTGCAGGTGGCGATGTGTTGTGCTCTGCCAGTACATTCCAACCAGCAAAATCATTCACATACTTGATGTAATTTTTTTCCCTTTAACATTAGTATAATTATCGTAACATTTGTGGCTATTTTATTGTTGGGTTTAGTCATTTTTCCTAGGATTTTTTAGGGGAAAGAGGTGTTTTGGGTTTGTATTTTGAAATATCTCTGAAAAAGTTTTAAAAGCTTTGTGTGTATTAGCTCTGCCATATTTTTCCAGATTAGCAGTTTGCTGCTTCATTCAGTGGACTGTACCAGCACCCCCGAGTGGTTTATGAGCAGCTGCAGGAGCCTCTGTTGTGCTGATGTCTCTGAGTCAGCTGTCTTATTCCTGTGTCAGGGGACACTTGCCATGTTGGACTGGCAGAATGGGAGCGTGGGCCCAAATGGGGAGGCCCTGCTCTTGGATACTGCACATGTTTTGTTCACCTTGAGTTCACAGTGAGTTCTGATGCTACTGTTTCATATTTTGTTTCACTTGTAAGACATTTAAAAGATGCAGCCCAAAAGCTGGAGTGGTTTGTGCCTCCAATCCCAGCTACCCTCCCGGTAGGCTGAGGCAAGGGGATCACTCGAGGCCAGGAGTTCAAAACCAGCCTGGGTGACATAGTGAGACCCCATCTGTGTGAGGCATGTGCCTGTAGTCTCAACTACTTGGGAGAATTGCTTGAACCCAGGTGGCCGAGGATGCTGTGAGGTATGATTGCACCCCCAGGAGGCCTGGGGCACAGAGTGAGATCCTGTCTCAATCAATCAGTCAATCAATCAATAAAATTATGACTGCAGGTTAGCCTGTAAAGAACATTTCTAAAATTAATTTTTAACATTTTCAATATTACCATTTTTTAAAACTATAAAAATTTTTATATGTATAATACTTTAGAATTTATGAAGAACTTCAACGTAGGTAATTTAATGTGATCCTCATATGGCTAATAAATAGGATAAGAAATCTAATTTGTTGAATGGGCAAAGGGAGGCTTAGAAAAGTAAATGCTTACCTACAAGCATATTGCTAATAAGAATCTGAAGCAGCAGTGTTAGAAGGTCTTCTGACTTCATGGGGCAGTATTTTGTATTTTTGTGTTTTTGCCATAATGGCTGAAAGTGATCATGTATATGAAATGTCAAAACATGTGTCTGGCTTGATAATAATGAACATATGAATAAAGGAGGAAAACTAAAATAATTTTTTAAATATTGGAGGTATAATTATATACTGTGCAGTTCTTAAATTTAAAGTGTACAATTCAGTTTATTATTCACAAAGTTGTTCAACAACCAGCATTTCTAAATTAATTTTTAATATTCTCTATGCTATCATTTTTTTTTTAAAATTTTTTTCCTCAAATTCTTTTTTACCATCATATTTTAAAACTATAAAAATTTCTATATGTGTTGTGCTTTAGAATTTATGAAGAACTTTAACATAGGTAATCTAAAATGATCCTCACAAATCTGGTAAACCATCAACATTTCTAAGATTAATTTTTTAAAATGTTAAAAATAATTCAAACAACTTTAGAATATTTTTTATCACAGAGAAGCCCCATTTCCCCAATCACCTCCAACCCTTGGCTTTTCTTATGCTTTAAATTACGTGTGTAGGCCGAGTGCAGTGGCCCACAACTGTAATCCCAGCACTTTGGGAGGCTGAGGTGGGTGGATTACCTGAGGTCAGGAGTTTGAGACTAGCCTGGTCAAATGGTGAAACCCCGTCTCTACTAAAAATACAAAAAATTAGCCAGGCATGGTGGTGGGCGCCTGTAGTCCCCGCTACTGGGGAGGCCAAGGCAGGAGAATTGCTTGAACCTGGGAGGTGGTGGTTGCAGTGAGCTGAGATCATGCCATTACACTCCAGCCTGGGCGGCAGAGCAAGACCCCGTCTCAAAAACAAAAATAAATAAATTACATGTGTAATCATCACCACAATCAAGGTAGTGAATATTGAGTATTTCCATCATCCCCCAAATTTTCCTATGTCCTATTCTGGAATATTGTTACTCTTTTTGTGACAAAGTCTCGCTCTGTCACCCAGGCTGGAGTGTAGTGACATGATCACAGCTCATTCCAGTCTCACTCCGAAGCTCAAACAATCCTCCTACCTCAGCCACCAAAGTAGCTGGGACTGCAGGCGTGTATCACCACACACACCCAGCTTTTTAATTATTTATAGACAGATCTCACTGTATTGCCTATGCTGGTCTTGAACTCCTTTCTGGATGATTTTTTACAAAGTAAAAAGATTCATATAGAAATTTCAGATCTGTTTTGGCTTTACTTGTAGTTTTTTGTTCTTATAAGTTTAATAATGATTGAAATTTGTGTTCATTCTTTGTATTTAATATTTTAAAGTCTAAATTATTATAAAATGAAATTTCTTTTACTAGTCAGTTTATGATAATGGCTCATGGCTCATTTTTCTTCAGAATTAAAGAGCCAACGCTGGAAATGTTTCTGTCTAGAATCTTGGCATCCTGGACTAATTCAGCTATACAAGTTCTTGAATCAAGTTCCCCAAGCCTAAGGGACAGCCTGAATGGGAATTCAAGTATAGTTGGGAGACTTTTGGAATATGTCTATACCCATTGGGAACATCCATTGGATGCTCTGAGACACCAAACCAAAATCATGTTCAGAAATCTTCTCCAGATGCACCAGCTCACTGTGGAAGGTGCAGATTTGGTCCCTGATCTTTTCTTTGTGGAATTGACTGAGAGTCTTCTACGATTGGAATGGCATATTAAAGGAAAGTACACATGCCTTGGTTGTTTGGTAGAGTGCGTAGGAATTGAACATATTTTGGCTATAGATAAAACTATTCCATCTCAAATCTTAGAGGTGATGGGGGACCAGTCATTGGTACCTTATGCAAGTGACCTCTTGGAAACCATGTTTAAAAATCATAAGAGTCATTTGAAATCTCAGACTGCTGAGAGTACTTGGATTGACCAGTGGCATGAGACTTGGGTTTCTCCTCTCCTTTTTATACTGTGTGAAGGAAACTTGGATCAAAAGTCTTACGTGATTGATTATTACTTGCCAAAATTATTAAGTTACAGCCCTGAAAGCTTACAGTACATGGTAAAGATTCTTCAGACTTCTATTGATGCTAAAACTGGTAAGAAAAATACATTTTTGTTTTAGTAATTTCTAGTTATGATGCTTAAATGTAAGCAGCTATGCAGATACTAAGCATATTCAGATTTAAATATTATCACTTCTATTAATAGTAAAGGAGGAGATTAATGATAGATATTTCAGTTTAAAATGAATGTTCCTATATATAGCTGAATGGAGTTTTTTGGCTGAAGTCATTTCTGCAAGCTAAAGAATGATTCCACTTGCAATGGTAAACTTCCCTTTGTTACAAGATTTTAATTCATTTTTTCAACTTCTGAATTTATTTTGTTGTATTATTGGAATAAAAGTTTGTCTTATATAATTTATTTATTCAAGTGATTGAGACAATAATTAAAAGTTGTGTTAGGCAAGGTTAAAGACAGGTAACTTGGCAGCAGCAAGTTTTTTTTCTGGGGAAGTGACAAAATTCAGAGGCATGATCTTGAGAAATAGCCACTATCATTATTTAGACTAGGGGTAAACATCCCATTGAAACCCACAAACCCTACAGGAATCACTGCATTCAAACATAATTCAGGATGTTTAAAGCGATGATCATGACACAGCATATAAATCTTAAAATTATTATTTCTGTTTAACAAAGCAAGAATGTAGTATACTACAGTATAATTTTAAGAAATATTTTCAACTAAAATTGTTAAAAACTTTCATGCTTCAAAGAGTAATCATGAGATAGCAGGAAAATTTGATTCCTGTATGCATAAATAAGCCATTATTTGTAATTTTTGACAATAATTGTTCCTGCCTTTTTGCAAAGCCATCTGAAATGCAGGATTCAAGAACCTGTTCTGAAGTACGATTGTCTTTATTTTTATATCAAGCTGCCCTGTCTTCTTGGTAATGGCTGATGTTCTAGCCTCTGAAACCAGCAGACCCTTTGTGATCCTTTTTTAATCTTCTTTACTAGTCTTCTTTTCTTTTTAATCTTCTTTACTAGTGACTAGAAACAATCACTCCAAAATATGCAAATAGGTTTAGCGCTTTCTTTTAGAGAAATAATAGTCTGTAGCCACCGATGTGTTTATTTCTCTACCTGATTTTTTTTTTACTTTACTTCCTGATTCACTTTCTAGGTGTTAGGAAAAAAGTGAAAATGTTAGCAAGTGAATAATGATTTCTTTATGTTAATAGTAAGAGAATTATGCTTACTTGAAATGATTGACAAAAGGACAAATCATTTTAAATAATGATTGTTTTAGAATAGGAACTTTGTGTTAGGATTTACTTTAAAATGTGATTTTTATTTATTGAAATAAAATATTAATTGGAAACATGAAAATTAGCAGCTAAGTATGGTAGTCATTGCATAATACGTAATGGTCTTTGTTACTGTGCTTTCAGGACAAGAGCAGTCTTTCCCATCCTTAGGGTCTTGTAATAGCAGGGGGGCTCTGGGGGCTTTGATGGCATGCCTGCGAATAGCTAGAGCTCATGGACATCTTCAGTCTGCAGCTGATACCTGGGAGAACCTCGTGTCTGGTGCAAGAATAAAGCAAGGCTTAGTTCATCACCATTGCCAAGTAAGTAAATTACCTGGATTTGTATATGCAGTAGATCCCTTTCATGTAGCAGTTCAAAATAGAGGGCCCTCCATTGTGTCCTGCACTGTTTTAAGGAGTTCATAAAGAGAATGAGTAGAACCCCAGTTTCCCAACTAAACTTTCAGTAGATCCTTTCTTTTTCTTTCTTTTCTTTTTCTTTTAGATGGAGTCTTGCTCTGTCACCCACTCTGGAGTGCAGTGGCACAATCTTGGCTTACTGCAACCTCCGCTTCCTGGGTTCAAGCAGTTCTCTGCCTTAGCCTCCCAAGTAGCTGGGATTACAGGCACCTGCCACCATGCCTGGCTAATTTTTGTACTTTTAGTAAAGACGAGGTTTCACCATCTTGGCCAGGCTGGTCTTGAACTCCTAACCACATGATTCACCTGCCTTAGCCTCCCAAAGTGCTGGGATTACAGGCGTGAGCCACCGCACCCAGCTTCAGTAGATCCTTTCTTCAGGCTACTGAAAGTTTAGTTGAGTATGTAAGAAGACTTGTATTAAACAACAGGAAACTCTTGGAACTGACAATACAGATACAAGTGTGCCATTGTGTGCACTTAAATACATAAGGACTTGCTCTGAAGGCTCAGAGTAGACTGATGAGAGTAAGTGTTGCTTGATTAGGAAAGCAATAGATATGATTAGGAGAGAGGAAGCCTTGGAGCAGCATACAAAATGGAGGGACCCAAATGAACAAGGTCTGGAGGATGATTAAGGACATTGCTTATCAAGGGTGGAGTGTTCTGTACATTTTTTGGAAGCGTCTAACGCTAAGCTAAAGACATCATTGGTTCCCAGGCACCAGTTGGTTTTATTAAGCTAAACCAAAGCCACTCTGTTTTCAGCAAGGAATTACATTAGTGGAAACTTAAGTTTCCAGAGTTGGAGCAAAAAGAAACCAGGAAACCAGTTAGAAGTGCCTGGCAGTAACATAAGAGTGAGGTGATGGGATAAAGGGGTCACTAAAAAAAAGGAAAAGGAATGAAGCTGAGCATTACCATGGAATAAAAATCTTAAAGATTGTTGCATTATATAAATCCCCAATTTACATATTTAATAAAAGAATTTTATAGGAAATAACCATAGGATCTTTGAGATTAAGAAGTCTTTCTGAGGTACCTATTGGTGCACTGAAGTTTACTTTTTTCTTTGTAGCCTATGTAAGCAAACAATTCAGGTGATTTAGGCTTTGCTTATTTATTAGAAAATTAACATTTTCTTGCTTGGTGTTTTTTAGGTAAGGATAGATACATTAGGCTTGCTTTGTGAAAGTAATCGAAGCACAGAAGTTGTTTCCGTGGAAGAAATGCAGTGGATTCAGTTCTTTATTACATATAATCTTAACAGCCAGTCTCCAGGAGTGCGGCAACAGATCTGTTCTCTTCTTAAAAAGGTAGAATTTCCCATCAGAAGGCAAAGGGAAGTGATGAACTTTGTTTGGGAAAGCGTTTTTAAAAAGAGCCCAGGTTTTGGGAGCGCGTGGAAATGGTCACGGAATTGGGCTACCACATCTGTTCATGATGTCCCTCCTGTGACCTGTTCTCTGATTCCATAAAGCTTACATCTGGGATTAAAATCCAGAGCGAAAAGCACACACCCTTCCCCCCACCTTTTTTTTTTTTAAAGGCAGGGTCTTGCTCTGTCACTCAGGTTGGAGTGCAGTGGTGTGATCATAGCTCACCGTAGCCTCAACCTCCTGGGCTCAAGCGAGTCTTCCACCCCAGCCTGTCACGTAGCTGGGATGACAGGGGCACACCACCATGACTGGCTAATATTTAAATTTTTTGTAGAGATAGGGTCTCACACTGTTGCCCAGGCCGGTCTTAAACTCTGGGCTCTAGTGATCCTTTCACCTAGCCTCCTAAAGTGTTGGGATTACAGGTATGAGCCACCACATGTGGCCAAAAGTCTTTCATTTTGGTGTAGTAAATCAACCTTGGGCTCTTTTTTTAAAGAAAAAAACGTATGCTGGAGTTCTTAGGGTGTAAGGTAGTTTTCAGAAAACTTGGTAACAGGAGAAAGAACACCCTTGGATTTTTATAGTTTTAAGCACCTCATAAAATGGTCATTATCAAATAATCCAACTTGAATTAGTCGCATAACACATTTATGGGGTGAAGAATTGGTGGAGTAGGGAATTGACTATATCATCTTCAGGTTTGTGCCAACTTAAAGGAAATAAGAAAACTGTGGTTTGATGATTGTATTCTGCTTTGCAATAATACTTTGTTTTTGGTATAAAAATATTAATTTTCTTTCCAAAAGAAACATTATAAAATATTAAGAGATTAAAAATCAGTACTCTTCTTCCTTGAAGTTTCATTCTGAAGAATTTTGCCTCTCAGCTGACATTTAAATTTAATGTGTGGCTCACCTCTGCTTCATTTCTTTTATCTCAAAAGCTGTTTTGTAGGATCCAGGAAAGTTCTCAGGTGCTTTATAAATTGGAGCAGAGTAAATCCAAACATGAACCACAGAATGAGTTAACCAAACAGCACACTTCTGTTTCTTTACAGCAGTATAAGGTAGGTGATAATATTTCTAAACATAGAGATTGTTTAAAAACTAAAAAGTACTTTGAATAAGCATTAAAGGGAAATACATGGAAGTCTGTTGAATTGAGTTTCTGTGCTTCTTTTTTTTCAAGCTGAGTATTACATATTTCTTCTGGTGCTTTGGTACTCTACTTGATTTAGCCCTGAGTGATGAAACCAGTGCAGTAGTGGAGGACTGTTACAGAATGACGTTCATTGGCTAATCTCAATCACTTTTAGCTTATGTAGGCCAGATAAATTTAGTACTTTAACAGATGGGTAATTGATGGTACTGAACTCTGTCCCTCTCCAGGGCAGAAGACTGTTGTTGCTGGGCCTGTTTTCTCTTTAGATTGACATGACTCACAGAGGCTTGATGAGTCTTGGCCCATGGTTCAGCTGTGGAGGAAGCTTGCTGTCTGCCTTGCATTGGAGTGAGCTTGAAGAGTAGGGCTGGATTTTCGGACATTGTGTTAATGAAATGGATGGAAACCCGGGTACAGCAGCTCCAGTCTGGGCCAGGGCTTAGTTTGACAATCTTGAATTTCTTTTCAGCAGAACAGATTGAGATTTTCACTGTTCTTCCCCCAAATTTTGCCTTCGAGAAGCAGATCCTTTTTATCCACTTACAATGGTAAACTTCCCTTTGTTACAGGGTTTTAATTCATTTTTTCAACTTCTGAATTTATTTTGTTGTATTATTGGAATAAAAGTTTGCCTTATATAATTTATTTATTCAAGTGATTGAGAAAATAATTAAAAGTTGTGATAGGCAAGGTTAAAGACAGGTAACTTGGCAGGCCCTGATAGAAGACAGAGCTTACCTATTTATTTTGAGAAAGAGGGAGATTAATAGATTAATGATACGTTTGAACTATGACACACTAATAACTGTAGACATTCTTATGGATGCCCTTGGTTTTCAATTTTGTATTTAAAAGATAAAAAGCCATCAAACAAAGAATATTTCTATACAAAGGCTAAAATCAGCTTTGTCTTTTTAAAACGAAGCTTGGGAAGTCACAACCTGAACTTTAAGGGCATAAATTTTCTCCTAATTCTGCCACTTACTAGTTGGCTGACTTTAGTCTCATCAAGTATAAGCAGAATTAGTAACCTTTCTCAAAAGGTTGATTTGAGGATTAAATGAAAAAGCTCTTTGTAAACTATGTATCTCTCTAAAAAGCCTTGCTGAGAGTTATTAAAAGTGACTAGCGGTGGCTTATGCCTATAATCTCAGCTCTTTGGGAGGCTGAGGCAGGAGGGTCACTTGAGTCCAGGACTTCAAGACCAGCCTGGGCAACATAGCAAGACCTCCTCTTTATTTAAAACAAAAACAAAAACAAAAACAACTCTGAGACGAACATGGTGATGTGCACCTGTGGTCCCAGGTACTCAGGAGGCTGAGGCTTGAAGGTTACTAGAGTCCAGGAGGTCAAGGCTTTGGTGAGCCTTAACTGCACTCCAGCCTGGGCAACAGAGCAGCGAGACCCTGCCTCAAAAAATTAATAAATAAAAATTTAGAAGTGACTAGAATATATATTAAAGCCCCCACTGTGTGTGTGGGACAGTTAAAAAAGTTTTTTTAAAATTAATTAATTTTTTGTAGCTGTGGGTTCTTGCTATGTTTCCCAGGCTGGTTTCAAAATTCTGGCTTCAAGTGGTCCTCCTGCCTCCATCTCCCAAAGTGGTGGGATTGCAGCATGACATACTACCTACTCTAAACATTATCATGGATTATTGTGGATATTATGCCTAGCTTAGTTATTTTGTAGTTTCTCTTAGATCACTGCTAGGTTTAACAAAGCATATCTTGTTGCTTTGTTTTTGCAAGGGGTAAAATGAAATTTGTGAAAACTCAATTAGGTACTTGGAAACACAGAAGTTGTTTTTTGGATTGAGATTCTTAATTTTCATGTATGCATGGTTTCTTGGTCTGTGCTTATAGGTATGCATGCTTTGAAAATTAGTCCTTAGAGTCTTAATCTGAGTCAGTCTTGTGGTTGTGGTACTTTTTCCCTACTGGTACACCTGTGGCTTTTGGAGGTTGTAATCTTGTCACTGTATTGTCATGATTGTCACATTGTCGTAACAGTGGGTGCCATGCACCGTGTGTGGCAGGCTCAGTGCCAATCAATAGACTAAATGCTGGGGGAGAAGAGGCTGTTAGTTGAAAAAGACATCTTCTAGTCTAGTGGAGATAATTTTGTACCTAAATAACTGATATTAGTATCTAGAGTACTTTTAAATTTATAAAATGTTAGATGTCCATGTTCTCATTTAACCTTTAATAAAAAGGCTGTGAGATAAACACTCTTATCCCCACTTAACAAGTGAGAAAGCTGAAGCTCAGTGAAGTTCAATAAGCCGTGTAAGGTCCCTTAGCTAGTAAGTGGTAGAGTCAGAATTCTAATCCAGACCTGCTCTTGACTCCAAAATCTCAGTAGTTCCCCACTCCTACCCCTAGTACTAGCTTAATGAAGGCTTGGTGATAAGAAAGTACCGGGGGAACTCGAGGATGTTTATAGTGAATGACATATAAAATACCTCGGGGATTGGAGAACTTGAGTAATGGGAAGTGAATCCAGAGAATCAAGTTGAAAATGGATCGTTTTCAATGATAGGCCAAGGGATTCGGAAGCTTCACTGAGAACCATTAAAAGTGATTAGAGCATATACCGAGAACTTACTATGTATGTAGGATACTGTGCTCAGCAATAGGGATCCAAACATAGAAATGTGGTCCCTGCCTGCATTGTGGATACAGTCTGATTGCAGGAAACAGGAACTATAAGCCTATAAATGACAATACAGTTGGAATGATACTCCCTAGTGGATGTATCACTAGGATACATCCACATTTTTTTTCTTTTTAAAACAGGATCTCACTCTGTTCACCCAGGCTAGACTGCAGTGACACCATCTTGGTTTACTGCAACCTCCACCTCCCAGGTTCAAGCAGTTCTCCTGCCTCAGCCTCCTGAGTAGCTGGAACTACAGGCCCCTGCCACCACGCCTGGCTAATTTTTGTATTTTTAGTAGAGACAGGGTTTCACCATGTTGGCCAGTCTGCTCTCAAACTCCTGACCTCAGGTGATCCACCCCCCTCGGCCTCCCAAAGTACTGGGATTATAGGCGTGAGCCACTGCACCTGGCCCTTGTTGTGTTTTAATGTGAATACTGTTTTACTTAAAAGTAGCTTAACTAGGGTATTTTTCAGTAATGGTGCTATTCCTTTGAAACCTAATAGAATTAATAACCTAGTAAACTCTTAGTGCTTGTGGGGACCTAAAGGATAAATCCCCAAGGTTGCATGTACTTCACCTGAGAAATGACTGCAGGGATCTTATGTAGAGTCAGTTAAGGTGAGGGCTGTTGAACCCAGCAAGACTCTGTCTTTAAAAAAAAAAAAAAAGTATACATATCTGTCTGGGCTGCAATAGAAATTATACTTCTTGTTGACTCTGCAAAGATAGGGTTCATTAAAGTCATGATATAGCTTATGGTCAGGGTGCCAACCTGAATTATTAAGAAAGTGAACAATTGGTATCATTTTTGAAATTTACTTTTTAAATTAAAAACAAAAACACCCACTCTTAAAGGGTGTTTAATACTCTAAATATAACCTATTGTGATATAATTATACTGACTGTAATTTTTTTTTTTTAAGAATTTTATGTCATCCATTTGCAATAGTCTTTTTGAAGCATTGTTTCCTGGATCTTCCTACTCAACTAGATTTTCAGCTTTAACCATTTTAGGCTCAGTAGCGGAAGTTTTTCATGTTCCAGAAGGTAAGTGTTTAATAATGTTTGGGGAAAGAATTTTTTTTATATGCTTAATTCGAAGTTTCAGTTTTGTTGCCTTTCTTCGAGGTTTTATTCTTACCATATAATAGTTGCTTGTACATAATGAAATTGCCAGTAAAGGACAGAAGAGAAAGAAACGATCTCCTTTTTCATTGATCATTATTTGCCAACCCCAAACTATAATTTTCATGGATTATACTTATTATGGAAAGAGTTTCAGCTCTTACTTCCCTAATTTGTTTTTTGCTGTTTTAAGGTAGTACCCAGTCTGTTCTTTAAGATTTAAAATTTGAAATAATAATAGCTTCTATTATGTTTAATATTTCTGAGTGAGTCTCTGTGGTTAAAATGTGGTTTCCCTTAACACTGTCTGTTTCATATGCCTCAATCTGGTTTCGGAAAGACAACATGAAGATGTAATTTCCAAGTATTCTGGTTTAATGATACCCTTTGTTTTTCCTTCTGTGTGGCTCTCAAGAGGGTGAAATTTCATTTCCCTCTTTTTTTGTTTTTTGTTTTCCTTTTTGACAAGAAATGATTCTTTTTTTTTCCTGTACATGTGTGTATATGTGTTATAAAGTAGGATTTCTTGCTTGTGCTAGGTCTTCCTTAACTGTGGTTAAACAGGAAAATATCCTGCTCAGCTGCTCTTTCACAGGGAATGGCCAAAGCATCAGGTAGCTTTAAGCTATCATTGGATTCTTTTTATTTCATTATTTTATTTTTTTTGAGGTGGGGTTTTATTCTTATTGCCCAGGCTGGAGTGCAGTGGTGCAATCTCGCCCATTGCAACCTTTGTCTTCTGGTTTCAAGTGATTCCCCTGCCTCGGCCTCCCAAGTAGCTGGGGTTATAGGCTCCTGCCACCACACCCGACTAATTTTTGTATTTTTAGTGGAGACAGGGTTTTACCATGGTGACCAGGCTAATCTTGAACTCCTGACCTCTGACCTCGTGGTATGCCTACCTCGGCCTCCCAAAGTGCTGGGATTACAGGCATGAGCCACCATGCCGGGCTGGATTCGTTTTTTATTTTAAATCATTGGGCAAAATGTAATTTTTTGACAGGACGACAGTTAGCTGACGTGATAGAGGCTTGCTTCATTTGAGGAAAATCAGTTTTTAAAAGTTTTTATTTTGAAAAAATTTAAATCAGCAGCAAAGTTTGAAGACTGGTTCAATGAATAGCCATGTACCCTCTACCTAGATTTATCAGGTTTTTAATTTTTTTTTTAGTTAGAGTTTCATTCTTGTTGCCCAGGCTGAGTGCAGTGGCACGATCTCAGTTCACTGCAACCTCCGCCTCCTGGGTTCAAGCAATTCTTCTGCCTCAGCCTCCTGAGTAGCTGGGATTACAGGTACGTGCCACCATGCCCAGCTAATTTTTATATTTTTAGTAGAGATGGGGTTTCACCATGTTGGTCGGGTTGGCCTCAAAGTCCTGACCTTGTGATCTGCCAACCTCGGCCTCCCAAAGGGTTGGGATTACAGGCATGAGCCACCATGCCCGGCTGATTCCTCAGTTATTAATATTTTGCAATATTTGCTTTATCTCTGTCTTTTGCTAATTTTATAACTGTAATACAGTGATCAAATTCAGAAAATTGAATGTTGAGACAATGCTTTAATCTAATATGCAATCTGTATTTAAATTTTGCCAATTGTCCCACCAAATGGTCATTTATTTTATAGTACAAAAAAAAAAAACTTCCCACAATCTCGGAAGCAATCCTAGGTCACGCATTGCATTTTGTTGTTATGCTTCTTTTTAGCTTCCTTTAATCTGGAAAGTTTCTTGTTTCATGATATTAACATTTTGGAAGAATATGTCTCAGTTGGGGTTTGTCTCATTGTTTCCTGATGATTAGATTCATGCCGTACATTTTTGCAGGAATATTGCATAGGGGATGTGGTGTTCTTCACAGAGCATCCTATAATGGTATTGATGATATTGGATTGTTCAAGTATTCATAATGAGAACTATGATCACCTTATTTAAGTGGCGATGGCAGGCCGAAAAATGGTCTCCAAAACACATCCACATCAAATCCTTAGAAGTTGTGAATGCAAACCTTACATGGAAAAAGTGTCCTTGCATATGTGCTTAAGTTTAGAATTTGAGGTGAGATAATTCCAGATTTTCCTGATGGACCAAAAATGTCATCACAAGTATCCTACAAGACAGAGGCAGAGATTTGACAAACGAAAGAGGAGGCTGTGTGACAGCATAGGTAGAGATTGGTGTGATAGGGTTACAGGCCGTGGAATGCATGCGGCTGCTAGAACCTGGAAGAGGCAAGCAGCAGGTTCTCCTTTAGAGCCTCTGGAATGCGTGGCCCTACTGACACCTTGATTTTGAACTTCTGGCTTCCAGAATTATGAGACAAGAGATTTCTGCGATTTTAAGCCACCAAGTATGTGGTAATTGGTTACAGCATTCAGTGAATGCAGGAGTCTTCCATCAATTCATAGAATTTTAATACTACTTCAGCTTTATTTAGAAAATATGTTTTTACCTAAGAGTAATTGATTACTTCAATCATATAACAAAGAGTTTCCTGCACATGTAATGTAGTTGTAGCTGCACATAAGTGTGTGGAAAATAAAACTAGGCTGAAGCATACCTATAATTTTTCAGTCAACAGAGTAATTTAATAAATTTAAATGTACTTTAAAAATGAAAAACCTGAGCCACCTTCCTAATGAATGAGTTGCGTATAATTGGGCAGTGACTTATGCCATCGTAATTATGTTAGACAACTGGGAGGTAATGCGAATGGAGTAAGCCATACTGTAGCTGTTACTTTTAAATGAGGCTTAAGAACTTGACTGTGAAGTACAGGATTGGAGATGTAAATTTCCTTCATCATCATTTCAAGAACTTCAGTGATAGGAATGTGATTTGAGATTAGTCAAATGGTTTCTGCCTTTCCTAGACCAAGAAGAGTAAGTTGCATGCATCTTTCTTATGTGGAATCAAATGCCACAATATTGATGGTAAAAAATTCAACGATTAAATACTAATTTAGTATTTATTACATGTCTGGTAGCCAAGGATATTCACTGTCCCAAACAAGGTGCTTCTTCATTTGGAGCTTATGTTTCAGTGGAGGGAGACAGTAATGAACAAAATAATATGTAGAATTTGTATGTATTACCAGTACATTATATAGATACCAGATTATGTAGATTATGTATGTACAAGATGTAGATAAGTTCTATGAAAAATATTTCAGCCGGGCGCGGTGGGTCACGCCTGTAATCCCAGCACTTTGGGAGGCCGAGGCGGGTGGATCATGAGGTCAAGAGATCGAGACCATCCTGGTCAACATGGTGAAACCCCATCTCTACTAAAAATACAAAAATTAGCTGGGCATGGTGGCGCACGGCTGTAGTCCCAGCTACTTGGGAGGCTGAGGCAGGAGAATTGCTTGAACCCAGGAGATGGAGGTTGCGGTGAGCCGAGATCATGTCATTGCACTCCAGCCTGGGTAACAAGAACGAAACTCCATCTCAAAAAAAAAAAAAAAGAAATATTTCAAGAAGATAAGGGGGATATATAGAAGACCTAGGAGGTTGGGGAGTGTTAGTGGCTTCATACAGTGGTGTCAGAAAAGGCTTCAAATTTGAACAAAGCTCTTAAACAACTGATGGATAAAAGAAGAAATCATGAAGGAAGTTAGAAAATATTTTGAGATGAATGAAAGCAAAAATACAACATAGCAAAATGTAAGCAATGCAGCAAAAGCAGTGCTTATAGGGAAAGTTATAGCTGTAAATGCCTATATTAAAAGATCTTGAGTTAATAACCAAGTCAACTTTCTACCCCAAGCAATTAGAAGAAAAGAACAAACTTACCTCAAAAGGAAGGAAACAAGATTAGAACAGAGATAAGCGAAGAATAGAAAAACAATACAAAGAATCAGCGAAACCAGCTGTGCTTTTTAAAGATTAACAACATAGACAAAGTTTGCTAAATAAGATAAAAGAAAGACAGTACAAATAACTAAAATCAGAAATGAAAGTAGAAACATTTCTATTAAGTTTGCAGAAATAAAAATGATTATAAGACAGTACAGTGAACAGTTGTTAACACCAAGAAGATAATCTACATGAAATGGTCAAGTTTCTGGGAACATGAGAATTACTGACTTGAGAAGAAATAGAAAATGTGAGCAAACCCATAACAAGAGATTGAATCAGTATTCAAAAGGCTCACAGCAAAGAAAAGTTCAGGGTGAGTGACTTCTCTAGTGAAATCTACAACACATTTAAAGAAGAATTAACACCAGTCCTTCTCAGAGTCTTTCAAAAAATTGGACTGAGGGGAACACCTCCTAACTCATTTTATAAGGCCATCATTACCCTGGTACCCAAACCACACAAAGACACTGTAAGAAATGAAAAACAGCTGGGCTTGATGGCTCATGCCTGTAATTCCAGTACTTTGGGAGGCTGATGCAGGTGAATCACCTGAGGTCAGGAGTTCGAGACCAGCCTGGCCAACACGGTGAAACCCCATCTCTACTAAAATACAAAAAATTAGCTGGACATGGTGGTGGGTGCCTGTAATCCTAGCTACTCTGAAGGCTGAGGCAGGAGAATCTCCTGAACCCAGGAGGCCGAGGTTGCAGTGAGCCGAGATCGCGCCATTGCACTCCATCCTGGGGACAAGAGCAAGACTTGGTCTCAAAAAAATGAAAACAAAAACAAACAAAAAAAACAAAAAACCAAAGACCAATATTTCTTATGGACTAGCAAACCAAATCCAACAGCATATTGAAAGTGTTATATACCATGAGTAAGTAGAATTTATCTGAGGAATGTAAGGATGGGTCAATATAACAGTCAATGTGATACACCACGTTAAAATGAAGGGGAAGTACCATGTGATCATCTCAATTTATACAGAAAAAGCATTTGACAAAATTCAGAACCCTTTATGATTAAAAAAATGAACACAACAAAACTAGGAATAGGAAGGACAAGATGATGAAAGATATTTATAGCACATCCACAGGTGACATCATACTCAATGGTGAGAAACAAAGCTTTTGCACTAAGATCAGGAAGAAGACGCAGATGCCCACTGTCACCACTGCTGTTCACTATCATACTGAAAGTTCCAGCCAGAGCAATTATACAAAAAAAAAAAGAAATAAAAAGCATCCAGATAGGAAAAGAAGAAATCAAATTATCTCTCTTTGCTGACAATACAATACTATATCTAGAAAACTCTCAGAGCAATTAAAAAAAAAAAAAAAAAAAAAAGCAGTCAGATTGGAAAACAAGGAGCAAATCTGAGCAGAGTTGTTAAAGTGACAAAAACTTCAGATGTCAGCTCTAGGAATTTCATAGGGTTTTGCTAACTTGTAAATTAAGATTAAATGAGAAACTTGTATCCCAATTTACATTGCTCAAATTACCTAAGCATGTTTTCAGTTCTCCTTAGGGTTTCACTTGTTAAATGTTTTTAAATGTTCTTCACATTTTGCCATGAAACCTGTTTTTCCATAGTTCTTGAGTCTTCATCCTAGAATTAAGTGGATTCAGTGATTGCCATCATAGTTTTGGGATAGTTTTTTCTTTTCATCCCTTGGTTGGCTGAAATTCCTTTTTCTTTAAGAGTTTCTGGAGATAAGTAGTTCTTAATTTCTTGCATATTATAAAATGTTTCTGTTGCTCTTACACTTGAATAAGAAAGAGTTTGATATGCAAAGTTCTTCTAACCTTCCTTCCCTCAGGATTTTGTAACCATTGCTCCATTATCTTTTAGCACTACATGTTGTTATAGGGACGAATGAAACCAGTTTAATTTTTTCCATTTTGTAGAGGAATTGAGCTTTTTCCCTGAATGGCCAAAAGTGTCCTTCTTTATCTTTGACTCATCATACTGATCATTCTGTGTCCGTTCATTCTAAGATATGGTAGGACTTGTTTTTTTTGTTTGTTTTTTTTGGAGACTGAGTCTTACTCTGTTGCCCAGGCTGGAGTGCAGTGGTGTGATCTCAGCTAACTGCAACCTCCGCCTCCCAGGTTCAAGCGATTCTCCTGCTTCAGCCCCCCAGGTAGCTGGGACTATAGGCATGCACCACCACGCCAGGCTAATTTTTGTATTTTTAGTGGATACAGTGTTTCACTGTGTTGGGCAGGCTGGTCTCGAACTCCTGATCTCAGGTGATCTGCCCCCCTTGGCCTCCCAAAGTGCTGGGATTATAGGAGTGAACCACCGTGCCTGCCCAGGACTTTGTATTCTAGGTCAAGTTTTATTAAGATTTTAAAAAAGATATGTTTCTAAATTTACTTGTTTTTGTTTATTTTTAGCAATAACTTAGGAATCTTTCATATATCTTTTGAGAGAGAATTATGGTTTAAAAATATTTTTTAACTTGGAGAACTGTAGTGCTTATTTTGTCATTTTAAGAAAATAATAGAAAAGTTATTTTATGCTGTCATGGGTAAAGTATGAAGTGTGGTTTTTTTGTACTAATTTTCTATAAATTTGGTCATATAACTTCAGAAGATTGATTTCCTTCTGTTCACTTTTAAATCTTTTGGTTTTAAAAATATTTTTAGGTAGAATTTATACAGTATATCAGCTAAGCCATGATATTGATGTTGGTCGTTTCCAAACACTCATGGAATGTTTCACCAGCACTTTTGAAGACGTGAAAATTTTAGCATTTGATCTTCTGATGAAGTTATCGGAAACAGCTGTACATTTTCAGGTATCTGGACTTTTCCAGTATAAATGTGGTATATGCATGGAAACTTTCTATCAGCAGATAAAGCAATCTGAGGATTATCCATGCGTTTGCCTCTGCCTTTTTATGTTTTTGGACTTCTTTCAGTTGTCATTAACACCTCTCTACTATTTCTGGGTTGGTGGGAAAAGAGGAAATAGGTAAGTAAGGCCCAAATCAGTGAGCTTTGCTTTTTTTTAATTGCTTTGAGAAAAAGAGAGGTGTAGGAGGCTGTAGGTTTTATTGTTTACAAGATTATTGGTAGATTTCAGTTAACTATGGTTTCCCCTGTTCCCTTGGACATGTAATATTCGATCAGAGCACATGGCTTACAGTAACTTGCATTTTTTGAGATAATCTCCCTTCTTCATACATTTGAGAAACAGTGTAAAAGAGGTAGAGAGCATGTTCCTGGTTTTTCAACCAGCAATAGCTAAACTGAGATGGAAACTTACCAAGTACTTGAGGTTAACAACAGTCCCTAGGTGCTCTACCTCATCCCCAACCCCTCCATTCTTCTTGACATATTGCTCTTCCCACTTTGGGGTAGGAATTAAAGGTGGGCTTGGAAGTGAAGGCATTACATGGGGATGAATCTGCAGGGAACCTCCAGACCCGGGCTCTCAGCTCTGCCCTTGAAGCTTCTCCTAGGGCTTTTGGGTCACCAGCAGAGTACTGGTTCTGGAGCTTAACTATGGTTTTCTGTTAGAGCTCTATAAAGGCTGAGGGTGCCTGCTGCAGCTGAGCCATGGTCTAGGCTGTGGTTGTTCAGTTCAGCTGTGTTTAGGGCATGGTAGCTTGTAGGTGCAGTGGGATTCTGTAGGATCACATGCTAGAGAGGACAGTGTCTGTTTCTGTGGCTTCTAGGTGGCTCTGTAAGATCTTAGAACATCTATGTTTTTTGACATGGGGTCCATATTGGAAGTTACTGTCCAGTATCCACCGATTCCTGTGATTTTTCAGGTATCCTTGTGAGCAGAAAGCTCCTTGGTGCTCAGGTTGCTAACTTTCATTATTATACACAGTTTTTAAAGATGAGATTTTTCTCTTCCTCTGTCTATCCCTCCTCGCCTTATCATTCATCACATGTCACCTTGTATTGTGTCTATAGCTATGCCTCATTCTTGGCAAATATTTTGAGAGTACCTGGATGGAGAAGACATATGATGGCATAAATGTGAAAGACCTGGCCCTTACATAAACTATGAAGGGGCTTAGGGGACCTCTGCACCTCTAATTTGGCAAATCGTGCTTGGTATATTGGCACTAGCTGTAGAATTCAGGAAATGTAGTACCACATGTGGTTTGCTATGGGATTTTGGTTACACTCTCTGTTTGGCTTACAGATTAGTAAAATAGTCAAAGAAATAGGCATTCAAGATTTAAAAATATTAATTATATATTTGTATTAGGGTTTTCTAGAGGGACAGACCTAATAGGATAGATGTATATATAAAGGGGAGTTTATTAAGGAGTATGGACTCACATGATCACAAGGTGAGGTCCCACAGTGTCCGTCTGCAAGCTGAGGAGCAAGGAAGCCAAAGCTGAAGAATTGGGAGAATCTGATATTCCAGGGCAGGAAGCATCCAGCATGGGAGAGAGATATAGGCCAGAAAACTAAACCAGTCTAGTCTTTCCACATTCTTCTGCCTGCTTTTATTCGGGCTGCACTGGCAGCTGATTAGATTGTGTCCACCCAGATGGAGGATGGGTCTGCCTTTCCCAGTCCACTGTTTCAAATATTAATCTCCTTTGGCAACACCCTCACAGACAATAAAGGAACAATACTTTGCATCCTTCAGTCCATTCAAGTTGACCCTTAGTATTAACCATCACAATATTATATTTCCAAAGTCTTTCTTTGGGTGTCCCTTATATAATATATAATTAATTTTTTTCGTATAGTTAAGTTTATAGCAGTTTTTGAATGCTAACCTGATCTCTCTAAGGACATGTACATACATATTTTTGATGACATATTTTTCACATAAATGGCTTGACTCTACTACCTAGTTTACTCCCTTTTTTCCCGTGGAGCTATATATCCTGGGTCTTTCTTCATAGTATTCTTTGATTGACCTAAGATGATGGAACAAAGACATTTTAGACTTCAAAGGCTGTTTATTACTTTCTTACTAATGGTTAATAAAGCAGTTCAGGGACTTAACTGTCAGTTAAAAAATGGCTTAGATGCTTAATTGGTTCTTTCTAATACTTATTTAAACTTGAACTTTTGGCTGCCACTTTTAAGTTTTTTTATTTAGATAACAGAAAATAAACATATCAAATGGTAAAGAAATTTAAATAAACCAGTACTTAAATCAGCACATTTGATATTTGCTGTTGTGAAATTAAAAAACATCATCAAATGTTAGTAGACCTATAATCAACTTGAAAATTGAGTTTATAATTATTTTTTCCTTACATTAGATAGTTATGGAATAATCCTGGTAGAATCAGAATATTATTGAACAGCCAAATCCTGACTTCCAGACTAGTGAACACACAGCTTGCTCATTGTTGAAGTTGGGACTAGAAATCATGTCTTCTGTTGTCAGCCCAGTGCTTTTCTGTGACTGCAACAGCACACTGTCCTTTGTTGTGTCTTTAGGACAGGTGATGGGAGTGGATGTTTGTGGGAGATCTAGATGTGGGAACTCTGAGGCGTAATTTCTGAGGCTGAGCTGATCACTGTTGTTTTCCACACACGTGAAGTTTCACCAGGTACAGCTTCCCAGTTCACAGTTTTCTCCAGTGAACTACCTGTATAGGAATGAGGAAGGGAGAAGGGCAGCCGTATGATGCCCAGGGGAAACATAAGCCCTCACAGACTGACGAACTGTCCTGCGTAGAAATAATGAAGATAGTCTGGCTGTGGTCATAGTAAAATTCTGCAGGACAAAGTACATTTTTGCTGAAGAAAGAGACAGTTAAAAAATTTTTTTTAAGTTTTTTTTGTAGTGATGAGGTCTCACCATGTTGGGCAGGCTAGCCTCAAACCCCTAACCTCAAGTGATCCTCCTACCTTGACCTTCCAAAATGCTGGGGTTACAGAGATGAGCCACTGCACCCGCCTGTGTTTTTGTTGTTGTTGTTGTTTTTTGAGATGGGGTCTCACTATGTTCTCTTGGCTGATTTTGAGCTCCTGGCCTCAAGTAATCGTCCTGCATCAGCCTCTTGAGTTGCTGGGACTATAGGCTCGAGCCACTGTACGCAGCTCCAGGCTGTGCTTTTAAATATTTACTATTTTTTTAAATTAAAGAAATCTTTAATTTGACAGTTACTGAGTCTGCTTTATTCTAGGATTCAGAGAAACTGCAAGGCTTATTTCAGGCAGCATTGGAGCTCAGCACAAGCACCAAACCGTACGACTGTGTGACAGCTTCCTACCTGCTGAACTTCTTAATCTGGCAGGATGCTCTACCGTCATCCTTGTCTGCCCACGTAACTCAGCTTGCTTGTGGTGATGGAGATAGGTCTGCTGCTGTGGTGGAAAGGAACACACTAATGGGTTTGTATTGATGTTTTGCTCTTATCAAAACCAATATCTTACTCTCTCAGTATTCATTTGTTTAGACTATCTGATGGTTAAACATATACTTTTTGTTTTTTTATTTAAAAGTTTATCAGCATATAAAAGTACCATGGGTTCTTATTATGCAAATGAACAGTTTACTCAGCTATAATACTTTTGTCTAAACAGGATTTATGTTGAACAAGTACATATACAAATGTATATTAATAAAGCTCTTCTTAAATGAGAATGACTTCTTTTTCCAACAAAAATGTGCGTTTGTTCCTGTATAAGTTATACTGTGACTAGAGAGAGACCATCTTCATTATTTTTATATAGGCAGACTTCCTTTGTTTATCCGGGTTTATGTTTTAATTAACTGTCACACCGTTGCCCTTTATGCTTCCCAGATAGCCAGTTCCAAAACCTAGGGTCTGAGATTGTTCAGATCTAATGATTTTCAACAAATATTTCTTGAGGATTCATGTACTTAATTTTATGCTAGCCAGTCTTCATTTTGGAATTGTACTAGAAATAAGGACAGATAGGGATTTTTTTTTTTAATAGGAAAGGGAGATCAGATATAGAAAGAAAGTTAAAAATGATTATTTCTGAGATGGTAGAAATAGCCATGAAAAAGAGAACTAGTAATGGGAGAAAAAGAGGAGGCTATGAGTAGTTCTGGTGGGAATGTGGCCAGAGATCTGGAGATAGATGACAGTACCATGGAGGATGACACTTGCCTGCTTGAATTGCTTCACGGCTGTACTTAAAAGGAGACCCAATTGAGAAGTGGGAAGAGGGCTGCAGTTGAGGTGAATAGGGAGTCCATGCCTCACATAAAGGCTTTCAATTCAAGATACTTTAGGACTTTATGAGATATTTCAAACATACAAAGAATATTTACATGTAGAAGGCTTAAATATATATATATATATATATATATATATACACATGTAATTTATATAAATAATATGTAAAAAATTCAAAAGTTTTGTTCACAAGCTCGGTGATCACACTTAGCTTAAGTCATACAATAGCATCCATATCTTTGAAACCTTTCCTTTATCATAGCTGCATTTTTTGTTAATTTTTAATCTTGTTTTTCTTTATGATATTGCCTCTGGTATATATACTATTAAAAATATTCAGCTTACATGATACGGAATTTTATCTCAGTTGTACTTTATATATTATACAAATTTACCACAATTTATGAATCCGTTCTCCTGTTGATGGACTTTTTCTCCCTAAATAAATAATGCCAGTGTAAACATTCTCACGTAGGTCTTCTACATGTCGATTGTGCATCTGTAATCCAATATCTGAAATGCTCCAAAATCCAAAGCATTTTGAGTACCAACATGACACTTAAAGGAAATGCTCATTGGAGCATTTTGGATTTTGGATTTTCACATTTGGGGTGTTCAAAGTATGACGCAGATATTTCAAAATCTGAAACTTTTTTTTTCTTTTTTAATTTGAAAGGCATCTGCTTCCCAGTTAGCACATGCCAAAGCCTTGGGTTTGATACCCTTGCCAGAGGATGTTTTGGAGGAAGGACTAAGAGTGAATGCTGTAATGGGTACAGGCAGTTTAGGGAAAGACATTCTGTCCTGCCTTAACTAGAAATGAGCAACCCTGCTGGATAACCTTTAAAGATCTCTTTTTGATTAAAAAAACTCTAGTGTAAAGTTCTTTTGAGTTGGGTATATTAATGGGAACTGTTGTGCTGTTTGCACATTTATAAATGTTTTAGAACTGATATTACTTTGATTTTGTGTTTGCTTTTTCTAGTTATCAAATGCTTGATGGAAATTCTTGAGGAAGAAGTATCTCAGGCTGAAAATTCTCTGCTTCAGGCAGCAGCATCATTTCCAATGTATGGGCGAGTCCACTGTATAACAGGAGCATTGCAGAAGTTACCTATAAAGTAAGTATTTCCACAGCTGTTTCCTGTCTCAGAAATCCATTTGTTTCTGAGCTTTAACTTCTTACTGGAATGTGTCCTGGGAAAGGAATGTAGTCTATTGCTTTGAATAAAATTGAAAATCAGATTTAAAAACATACATATCTGTATATATTTTTATGTCTCATATATTTTGTATATTGCACAGTTTTGAAACACAAATTCAACCCCTTTTATCTAATAATTTCCATTTTTAAAATCTGATTTTTTGCTTTTAGTATAAATTTCCCTAATGTCCTTGTTGCAGCAGCCTGCAGTTGGTGAGTGAGTGGAAACCTGTGGTAGAGAGGCTCCTTTTGATGTCCTACAGGCTTTCTGCTGTGGTGTCTCCAGTCATTCAGAGCTCATCGCCTGAAGGTCTCATCCCAATGGACACTGATTCAGGTCAGCAAATGAAGAAGACAGTCTAGAGTGCTGTGGTTTGATTATTTTGTCTTTTTTTTTTTTTTTTTCCTAATTACTTCTTTGTGGAGATATGAAAGCTAAATTGCAGAGAAAATAATAAAAATTATTATTTGTGGTATTTCTGCTTTTTAGCAATAGTTTTAACTATTAAAAGGTAGCAAAAGAAAAAAAACAAAAAAACTCAAACCAGGGATGAGCAAGGTACCTCCTACCCCAGGGTAACTTGAGTTATATAATACTATATAAGTTGAGCATCCCAAATCAGAAAGTTGGAAATACGAAATGCTCTAGAATTGGAAACTTTTTGAACACCAGTGCGATGCGCAAAAGAAATGCTTATTAGAGCATCTCGATTTTGGATTTTCAGATTAGGGATGCTCAGCCATGCACGTATTCAAATATCCAAAAAAATCTGAAATTCAAAACATTTTTGGTCCCGAGCATTTCAGGTAAGTGATACTTAACCTGTACTAAAATGGAGTGTCCCTCTTTATATACAGAAAAATCATGAAATAAATTTACATTTGGTGTTGAAATAAAGTTTGTAAATGTATTGTAGAGTGCAAATGAGAAGCTTGTATTAGAAAAACTGAGTGTATCATAAACACGCACTATACAATACACTGAATATCTTGGGCTGATAATTAAGGTAATGTGGAGTTATGTGTTTTGGATTGAGAATATTTGGTTTTTGTTCCTTCCTAAAAATGAGTTAGAAGATTGGTGATGGTTCATGATACCAAGACACACTTATGGATCCTGATTATTTTATTTAATTAATTTTTTTTGGTAGAGATGGGATCTTCCTGTGTTGCACAGGCTGCTCTTGAACTCCTGACCTCAAGCAATCCTTCTGCCTTGGTCTCCCAAAGCACTGGGATTACAGGTGCAAGCTGCTGTGCTGGCCTTAAATACCAAATTTTGATGCTTTGGATTTTCTGCTTGAGCAGTGCATAAGAATAAGGAACATGCAGTCATATAGCTAATATTTGGGTCAGCGAAGTACTCATATATTCTGGATGAGAAACCTTGAATATTTCTGTTACCTACTGTGAGTAGATCCTGCAGAGGATACTAACATTACCTTTGTTAGTGAAGAGTTTTAAGATACCAGTTTGTCTCAGAAACTGTCTTTGGCCCACAGACTTTTCCTTCATTCTGCTGCTGTATTACCTCTGGTTGTCTTCATTTTTGCTGCTTCTTCCCTATGTTATCTGCCATGCATTCTGAATTTCTTGAGAAAAGTCTCCCCTAAAAGCTGTAAAATTGAATGGTTAGGATTCTTACAGATTTATTCTCTGATCTTTTCTTGGTCTTTGGTTTCTTTTGGGGCCAGTGTTACTTTTTTATGGCTGTTAAAATTTATTTTTGGCAAAATTTCAGGGAAGGAACATAAGATGTTGATTGAATCATCATGATAGTAGTTTGAGTGTTTGTATTTCCCATAGTACCTAAATATAAGTAAAAATAAGAGATGTCCGATAAATGTCGGTTCTTTGATTTGTCGATTGATTTCAGATGATTACTCATGGCTAGTTTTGAATATCTGAGCCTAGCTAACTCCTTATTACTAGCCATGCATTCATTCCTTCAACTCATGTTCCTGAACCTCTGCCGTGAGCCAGTTTCTGCTACAGACACTGGCCACTCAGTAACGAACAAAGTGTTGCATTCATGGAGCTTATATTTCCTAACCCACTGAGTGCTTAGGGAATAAAAATGAAGCTTAATGTAAATATGAAGACTAAATTATAATTAGAAAGCAGTATATTACATAATGTGTTTCAAAGCTGTGGAGTCTTTATGATATTCCTGTCTTATGAAAGATTGTTTTTGTTGTTGATGGGTTTTTAAAAATGTCTTTTTACCTTTCTATCTTTAAACTTTGATAACTTTTATTGTAGATAGGGAAATAACCTCTTTTCTATTATTTATCATTTGTTTTTTTAAATCAAATATTGATTTTTTTCTATTTTTCTGTTGCCTGCTTTTTTCTTCATAGAGAAATCGCTTCTTAAAGCTACATTTATTGAAGTTTATTGCACTTCTTTGAAATGATTGAGCACCGTATTTGAGATATTTGGACAACACTAAGAAAAGGAGTGTAGATGACATAGCAGCCTTCGTCCTGTGGACAGCTTCATTTAGATTTTTTTTTTGGTTATATTTCAGTCTAAATTGTCATATTTTAAAAATACACTCAAGCATCATGAAAACTATACATAATTTTTACGTTATCCACCTTGTGAGTCCCTTCTAATAGAACTGATTATCAAGTATTGAAAATTGTAGATTTTTTTAGGGCAAGTACCCCTAAGGGAAACCTGGCATCTGATGTGTTACTGGGGTTTCATATACTCTCATTTCTTTCCCTCAGAGTCAGCAAACCGCTTACAGATGATTCTGAATGAGATTCAGCCACGAGATACTAATGATTATTTTAACCAAGCCAAAATATTGAAAGAATGTAATAACTTTGATATGGAGGACTTGAATGCCAGTGTGCTGAATATTGATACTTCTACAGAAATCAAAGGTAACTTGTATAAAATTGATACTGTAATTCGTGTTTAAGTAACAAGTAAAATGTACAGAATGCCCTTTTTATGTAGTAAATTAAAGGTTGCAAATCTATGCAGAACATTTCTAGAAAATAAAGCTTTTTAAAAATTTGGTTTTGGGAAAGATTTGGGCTTAGGAATGCATTTATAAGACTTTTACCAAAATATTAGATGCCGTTGTGCAGCATACAAGCTGTTAGAACAAAAAGCCTTTGAATGATAAAACCTGCCCTGACAGCCCAGGTGATATAAGAGCAGTGCTGTACGATGAACCTGGGTTTGGGCAGCAATGAACTTCTCCCAGCACTGTGGTTCTAAAATTATTGTCTGCTGTGGGAGTTCTTAAAGCCAAGCAGCCTTTTAAAGGAAACAAACCTTATTAGTAAAATGTGAACTGCTTTGTTGTATCAAGCCTCCAGAATTCGAGTTCTTGTATCTTGTTTGATCGTTAGGTATGATTGAATTTTCTGCAGTGCTCCAAAAAGTCATCAGAAGCACTAATTTCTTAGTAATTTAGTACATGTTCTACATTCTCCACTAGGTGGGGATATTGTTATACAAAAAATTCTCCACACTTAAATTTTTGAAAAAAATAACATAAATATAATGCCTATTGTAATTGTTTCAAGCAACAGAGGTAAATATGAATTAAAAACAATTAACTTCCTCTTGATTTTCCTCTCCAATTCCACATCTTCCTTCTTTAGTGCAATATATTCTTTCATACTTACTCTATATATTTATGTGTATGTATACTTATCCATTTAATACATTGGGCTTTTTAAATAAAAACACAAATGAGATTACACTGTAAGTGTCATTTTGTCAGCTTGCTCTTTTGTTTAATATAATAGTCCATCTTGGATTTTTAAAAAATATCAGTTCCAAAATATTCCTAAAACTAGAATAAGAGAGTAAGTAAGGCCAATTATAGCTTATTGACCATGGGAATTAAATATATTTTGAAAGATAATTTGTATTTTCCTTTGATTTTAAAATTTCTATTCTACTTCTTTACAATTGCAACAGACATCCTCCCAAAATAAATAAGGCGTGTATTATAGTCATCCATATCATGCTTTATGACAGAGAGGCAGAGTTTGTTTTACTGATTTCCAAAGATTAAACTTAAGTTTTGGAACAATACTGTGTTTTATTTTAAAATTTCATTTGAAAATAATAAATTAAAAAAATACTGGGCCTGGCATGGTGGCTCATGTCTATAATCCCAGCACTGTGGGAGGCCCGGGTGGGAGGATCGCTTTAGTCCAGGAGTTTGAGACCAGCTGGGGTGACGTGATGAAACCCTGTCTCTACAAAAAATACAAAAATTAACTTGGTGTGGTGGTACACACCTGTAGTCCCAGCTACTAGGGAGGCTGAGGTGGAAGGATGGCCTGAGCCTGGGAGATCAAGGCTGCAGAGAGCGGTGAGCGTGCTACTGTACCCCAGCCTGGGCGACAGCAAGACCCTGTCTCCAAAAAAAACAAACAAAACAAAAAACAAAAAAAAAAAATTTAGTGTGATTTCTTCTCATAACTCACGCTTGACAAATGTTACCTTTTTTTCTCCTGAATAAATACAACATTTGACAAATTGGTTTGTTCAAGCAGATTATTCTTAGGGAAATTATGAATAAGCTTGTTTTTAGAAATCTGGGATATGAGTAATCAAGGTTGCAATAGTTGTGTTTTTATGTTTAAGGTAAAGAAGAAAAAACATGTGATGTAACTGCTCAGATGGTGCTGGTATGTTGTTGGAGAAGTATGAAGGAAGTTGCTTTACTTTTAGGCATGTTGTGCCAGCTTCTGCCCATGAGGTCTGTGCCAGAATCTTCTGATGGATTATTGACGGTAGAGCAGGTAAGGCAGATGTTTATTCCACCGTGTATAATTTCTGGTCAACCCATAAATCACAAACTTTCTTTTATAATCCAACTTTAAAAAAAGGTTTAAAATTTTTCTTGAATAAAATCATACAAATGTCAACTGAAGAAGGTTCATGGTAATTTAGAATGTTAGACTTTATAATACATTTCAAAACTGTGGCATTTTTGAAAATATTTTTCTAAGGTGTATAAATAACTGTAGATTTTACTTCACTTTTAACTGTAGTATTAACACTTTAATTTTTATTTTTCCATTTCACATACACAAACTTAAACTTTAGCTAAAATTGTCTATTTATTAAAAACTCCACAAATCTCTTAAATTTTGCAAAGAAAAAAAGGTAACATGCTGGTTGATTATGGATCTCATGTTTCCCACTGGATTGATAATAAAGTTGTATTCTCTTGGTTTTTTTTGGCTAACTTTTGTTTTAAGACCACAGAGTTAGTTCACCATCTGGGACTGTTCAAGTGACTTGAGTGCAGTGTTTACAAGAAATTAGCTTACCACAAGCATTTCATTTGGAAATATTTTAGATTTATTAGATTTCTGTTTTTAATTGATTCCCTCTTCCTTTCCATATGGTTTTGACAAATCCATTTCCCACCATTTTTCAGCAAAGATATATAACATGTACTTTCATTTTTAACTTTTTAAAAATAAAGACAACTTTTTCCCTAAGGTGTTACAATTCAAGAACAAAACAAATATTGTAGTATGCTGATGTTGATTATTTCTGTAATAATGACATGACTAGTTCCATGGAAATAATGTTGATACTATTTTTTTCTCACACTCTGTGGCTTGTGTTGCATGCATCTGGTTAACAGCTGGGCTTGTGATGTTGCAAGGCCCTGAGATGAAGAAAGGCAAAGGCACACAGTATACTTCAGGCATCATTATGTTCCTTATTCTCTTCCAAATCAAATAGGCGTTAGTGTCCTAGAGTTACTTGCAGTCATTGCTGGTGACTGGCTGTAGTGCCAGTGCCAACATCTTTGCTGAGGAATCCAGCTATGATTAATGATTACTTCACCAATGCTCACCATCTTGCTAAGAAGTAAACATGTGCTGGAGGCCTTTGATTTCCCAACTTCTCTTTCCAAGGACAAGTTAAAACATTTAGTTTTTTGGGTTTGTTGGGTAGTGTTTAAAAAACAAATTAAGGGTAATGTATTTTGCTTTTACTGTAACTGAGAAAGACCTGAAAGTTTCCTGTGAACATTATTTTGCCTTGACACCTTTTGCATAGCACCCAAATCTTAAGTATTTATGTGCAATAACCATGTTAAAATTGGGAATTGATGTAAAATAAAAGAGATGTTTGTAATCAAAACAAAACAATAATTATCACAAAAAGGCCCTTATAAACCAAAGAATTTTTCCAATAACTGCTTGAATAAAAAATAAGATCCTGTTTTTCTGTAGAAGATTAGTTTTCATTCTAATGAGGTCCAGTCATTTTTCCATGTTGCCATTCACATTATAACCTCAAATACATAGGTGTGAGAAGAAACTAATGACTGAACAAGCGATGAAATGTATATGTGATAGCAGTGTTCTAACACTGAAACCCCACTGTCTGTGGAAAACTTGATCTTGCTGACTTTAGCTAAAGAAATACCTCAGTTTAGGAGTCAATAAAAATCCAAAGTCATCAAATTATTTACATTACTGGAGGATTCCTTCTTTCAAACATAACATTTTGTCCCATGAAATTCCTTTAAATTAATAATTAAATATACTTGCATGTGCTTAAAACCTTTAAGAGTTAAAAATGTAAATGACAGAGAAGAATGTCATTTGCATTGGAATGGCTGGGCCACACCTGAGGTACACCCTTCCAAGGGCATAGTTGTCCTGGCAAAGCTAGATCTGCTGTGCCTAGTGGCAAAACTGTGAATTTAAGAGTCGTTTAAGAGTCAAACCTTAGATGAATGTGACTGCCACAGACCAGGATACATAGAGTCAGTGAAGTGACTTGCAGGCAGAATGTAACCCTAGTTCTAGGGGAGACTGTGGAACTTGGATTTCTTATTCTTCAAAGTAATAACTGTGATCTACTTTTCACTTATTGAATGAAGGAAGCCATTCCATACAGTCTAAAATATAATTTTTTTGTGTTCTGTTTTGAAATTTGAAGACTTGAATGTAGATGACAGTCCCTTTAAGACCATCCTGATTTTACAGTCCCTTATTGAAGGGGTGGCCACTTAAATCCCCCATGTAGGAGTATATAACAGGTAGGGAGATTACAATTTGAGGTTTTTTGTTGTTGTGTGGGGAGAAGAAATGGTGCTTTTTTATAATTCCGAGTTTTCAGTGACATATTCACAAACCATTAGAACTGGAAGGATCATAGGGATGATACTGCAGTATCCAGCTCTCTTGGATAAGAGGGAGCTGGACCCTGGATGTTACTTGGTTTGCCCAAGATTGCAAAGCTGGTTTGTGGCAGCTCTGGGACAGGAACACAATTCTTCTTGCCAGGCTGTGTTCTGACATTGCACAGTGCTGCCTTTGTTCTGAGCTGCTCATTTAATTTTTCTTTAAATTTAAATTTCCCTATTTCCTATACCCAGGTAAACTTTCACAAGCAACAGGACAGTAAGATGACTTGCTACTGAACTTTTTCTCAAATGATTGATTTCTCTAGAGCACTTGTGAAGCAATGTGCTCTCACCAGTTTCTCCAGGAGGAAAATGTGTTCATTTAGAGGCGTGTCTGATTTCCACTGTAATCACATAATGAAAGGTTCTTTCATAGTGTCGCTGTGCAAGAGGCAGAGATAAAACCAACTTTGAGGGATGTAAGTGGAGACCCTTCAAGAGTAAGCAGCACACACAACCTTGTCTTACAACTTCCTGACTAGTTGATGTGTGTGCAGTTTTCAAGCTTGATGTTTTGATGATGTAGAGCTTTTGCTTGTTACATTTTGTTGGTTCTCTTTAGGTGGGCTGATACCCAGTGCCTACTGATTTTTTTTAAATAGCTTCCTCTACCTGGAGTGCTATATGATCTTAAGTTTATATGTATTTCTGTAGTATTCCTAAAAAGAAACTACTGGGTAGATTTTTTTTTTTCATTCATGCTTCCTCCCCTCCCCAAGTACTTATCGCCACAGAAATCACATGGGTAAGATTGCCAAGTGTTAGAAATTGCTATTTTTAAAAATTCTTTTTTATTTATTTTTTTTTAGGCAGAGTTTTACTTTGGCGCCAAGGCTAGAGTGCAGTGGTTCCATTTCGACTCACTGCAGCCTCAACCTCCTGGGCTTAAGCCTCCCAAGTAGCTGGGACTATAGGCATGTGCTACAGCGCCTGGGTAATTTTTATATTTTTTGTAGAGACAGGATCTCACCATGTTGCCAGGCTGGTTTTGAACTCCTGGACTAAAGTGATCCTCCCACCTCAGCCTCCCAAAGGGCTAAGATTACAGGTGTGAGCTACCATGCCCGGCCTGGAAAGCCTACGCTAGGTTGTGTTGTAACTTTTATGATACCCAGAGCTAATTGTATTGATAGATTCCCTCAGTAGTGTCTTTTGTTGTTATTTTAGATTTTCTGTAATGGACTACAAATGGGGTGTATGTTTATTCACAAGTCTTAAAGAAATTGCCTTTTGCATTTTCTTTTGCCAAAGTTTAATTTTTTGAAATTACAAGTAATTTTATTGCATTGCACTCAATGCAAGTTCCAATTTTTAAGCTTTGGAATGAAGTTGTGCATGTAACCACATCCTATTTATTGACTGCCTAACTACAAGGATATCGTGGGAAAATAAAGAAGTACATAATATGTGCTTCTGTGACCTTAAAGGGCTTAGAAACACAATAGGGGATACCAGACAGAAATTCATTTTAAAAAGTCAGAGTACAGGGTAACAGTTAACATGCTCATAGTTAAGAATTTGCTGGAAAGCAAAGAATAAACATTCTCGTAAGATGATATCTGAGTGGTAGAAAATTATTGCCTTTGTTGTTATATAGAGAACAGTGTTTGAGCTTTGAAGAAATCCCAGAAATTAAGAAATCACTGTAGGAGAGAAGGTACAGTTTAAAACATTAACTGTTTTGCTGGAATGTAAACTTTTGTAAAACATCCCATTTAACCAAAATGAAATTAGAAGTGGCTGTGTCTTAAAGGCAGAATTTAAATTAAGGCTTAGATATTAAGTCTCACTATTTTATAATATAAAACAAAAATAAAATGGACATTTATTGTTTGCTACTCTTTACCAGGTACTCTGATAAACACTTAAATGCATAATCTTATTTATTTCTCACAATAATCATGTGAAGTAGGTTCCAGTGTTAGCTCCATTTCACAAATAAGAGAACTGTGTTTAATTACTTCGCATTAGTAGTAGATTTCAAAATTTACCTTCTCTAAAGAGTATATTTAAAATATATTTATATTTGTCTTTTGTATGTTTTATGGTTTAGATGAATGTTTAGATCCCTTAATTAGTCTGTTGGTGAATTTTAGATGCCTGGAAACATGGCGTGTAACTTCTTCCCCTGTGGAAATTTATACCCTGTAAATCCATAAAATAATGTTAATTTCCCTATAGAGATACTTTTTATAAAAAGGAGCAGGATATCCTAATTTAAAAAGGAGAAGTGATTAGAATTTAAATTTGTGTTTTTAAATTTTAAGAACAGAAACCAGTGTCTTGTTTTTGCATTTTGATCTTAATTTCCTTTATAAAAATCCTGAGATGTATGTTATTAAAAATTATTTTGTTGGAGGTAACACGCTACCAGATTTCAAAATATACCACAAACCTGCAGCAACAAAAAAGTGTGGTACTGGCGTAAAAACAGACACCTAGACCAGTGGAACAGAATAGAGAACCCAGATATTAATGTATCTACAGCCAACTGATTTTCGATAAAGGCTCCAAGAACATTCATTGGGGAAAGGACTGTCTCCTCAATAAATGGTGCTGGGAAAACTGAGTATGCTTTCTTCA